GATCTCGTCAGGGAGTGGCCCTATCCGGCCAGTAACTTTTTTGCGCATTTTTGCATTCCAGTTCAACATTTACCTACTCTACCTTGGAAGACTACAAGTGTAAATGTCATGCTATTTGTATTTGAGCAATATGATTTGCGGTTCATTCAAGCACCACCACGCTCCCGCATCACAACTTCTCGAGCAGTAGCCTACATGAGTTGGTGCCTTACCACAGCACACGTGAGCAGTCCAGAGCAAAAAGAAGAACCCATTAGTGATGCATGGGTTGACTCATATCCCTCAGTCCTTGCGGTTATATCCGGGGGGCGGGTGGGTTTAGGCTCATTAAATATTGTGTGGATGAAGGGCGGGTGGGTTGAATAAAGGGAAAAAACAATACCTGAATGGATCATTATTGTGCAATGTATATACAGTTGAAGTCGGAAGTTTACATACACCTTAGCCAAATACATTTAAACTCAGTTTTTCACAATTCCTGACATTTAATCCTAGTAAAAATTCCCTGTCTTAGGTCAGTTAGGATCACCACTTTATTTTAAGAATGTGAAATGTCAGAATAAAAGTAGAAAGAATGATTTATTTCAGATTTTATTTCTTTCATCACATTCCCAGTGGGTCAGAAGTTTACATACACTCAATTAGTATTTGGTAGCATTGCCTTTAAATTGTTTAACTTGGGTCAAATGTTTCGGGTAGCCTTCCACAAGCTTCCCACAATAAGTTGGGTGAATTTTGGCCCATTCCTCCTGACAGAGCTGGTGTAACTGAGTCAGGTTTGTAGGCCTCCTTTTTCGCACACGCTTTTTCAGTTCTGTCCACAAATGTTCTATAAGATTGAGGTCAGGGCTTTGTGATGGCCACTCCAATAACTTGACTTTGTTGTCCTTAAGCCATTTTGCCACAACTTTGGAAGAGTTGTCCATTTGGAAGACCCATTTGTGACCAAGCTTTAACTTCCTGTCTGATGTCTTGAGATGTTGCTTCAATATATCCACATAATTTTCCTTCCTCATGATGCCATCTATTTTGTGAAGTGCACCAGTCCCACCTGCAGCAAAGCATCCCCACAGCATGATGCTGCGGGGGTGCTTGTGTCATGCACAAAATTACTTGTGTCATGCACAAAGTAGATGTCCTAACCAACTTGCCAAAACTACAGTTTGTTAACAAGAATATTGTGGCGTGGTTGAAAAACAAGTTTTAATGACTCCAACCTAAGTGTATGTAAACTTACGACTTCAACTGTATCTATAGGCTACATTGAGATGTTTCTTTCATTATTTTAGGCTATCTGGCATTAGTGCGGAAGCTTTAGGGCCTAACTGTAAGTGCAAAATAGCCTACATGCCAATCGCCAAATGCATGTGGGAAAGGGCAGGAAATGTTAATGTCGATCCATGGAGGCAAAAATAATAATAAAGTGACTGGAGGGCCAGATAAGTCATGTTTGGGAAATATTTTGTGAAGTGGTAAAAGAGGATGATAGCAGTGCCGGCTATGTTATGTGTGATGATTGTGAGGCCCTAAACAAATATGACAGTCACAAGACGGAACTTCAAATAAGCGTATGGCACGTCAAGGGAACTGTAGCCAACTGTTCAGATGGTTTAAATGGAAACTGAAATCTGGACACTGACTGTAGGTCTGAAACCTCCCACATAGCCTTAATATTAACTCCTACAGAATTACGCATTTCTTGGGGTAAAATGATATACCAAATGTAGGTAACATTTTGACTTGGGAACAGGAGTGGAGAAATATGATTTCTTTCTTTCAGCGTCTTGAGAGAATGCACCGTTAGATACCGTCTATAGAGGTGCTATCTTTATCAGCATCATAAAAGCTGATAGTATTTCAACCACATAAAATATGCTTCCAAGCTGAACATCTTGGGTTGTTTTCACAGCTTTCTATTTCCTTACAACCGGTCAAGTTGACATTTTGCACAAAAAAATCTTTCCAGTTTTAAAGCAGAGATGACAGAGAAATTGACCGATGTCAACTAGATTGAAGCATTCATTCTATCCATTTATGACATTATTCTGGTGAGCAAGGGTTTATTTAGTCTTCTATGGCACCATATAATGACAGATGAGAAGTTACATGTATCTAATTATAGACAAGTTGACTAACAAATAGCCTACCAAAATGTCTGAAATTATAAGCAGAAGCATATCTAAATTGGGCAACAAAAAAATCCTGCACCCCCTGTCAAAAACTCGTTCCATCATGTCTGACTGTAGCCTACAGCGCATTTTCTATATTAGCGGGTTAGGGTCTGGTGCGGTCCTCAGATTTTCACTTTATCATGTATAGTCGTGCGTTGTGGATGGGTTGTTAGCAATAGCAATCTACTCGCTGAACTTATTTATTTTAGGCAAAGTGATTTACAAATGTAAACCTTCAATAGCTAACATACTAGCAATATGCTGGCTACTGTTGATAGTCTGCAAAAAGAAAGCTACAAAAAGACACCTGCCATTAGTCTTTGCTAGCCTACTGTAGCCATGTTGAGATCTCTTTTGGAACGTTGGTCTTAAAGGGGCAGCGTCCTATTTTGAAATCTCAAAACGACATACTTTCGAAACAAAAATGAATGCAGTTAATACAATGCAATTCTAAAGAATAGAGTCATCAAGGCAAAGGGTGGCTATTTGAAGAATCTCAAATATAGAATATATTTCGATTTGTTTAACACTTTTTTGGTTACTACATGATTCCATATGTGTTATTTCATAGATTTGATGTCTTCACTATTATTCTACAATGTAAAAACATTAAGAAAAACCCTTGAATGAGTAGGTGAGTCCAAACGTCTGACTGGTAGTGTACATATTGTAATAACCAAATGAAGCCTCTTAATAGCTGAATACAGGGAGAACACATGCCAAACTATTTGCCCTGCATGACCGCAATGCATTTAAGAACTACACCATGTCTGGGCCAGTAGAAATTCTGTTAGGGCCAGTAGATTTTTGGCCAACTGGCCCACCGGGCCAGTGAGAAAAAAAAGTTAACATTGGACCCTGCTGTGTTTCATATGCAGCCACAGAAAGGTGGCACATAGTAAATGTACTGTGCTTTGATTGACAAACAGCAAGCTTGACTAGTTTATAAAAGGTGTCAACTCAGTGAATAAAGTCGATCCCATATATCCTTGCCATTCATCAATCGTGCAAACGTAGTTATGTCCATGGTATCTTATCCGGACAAGTAAACTAAAGATCTTGTTTTATTTTCGATATGAAGTCCAACAGGACTTGCCAGACAGTGACGTTAAAGTGAGTGACTCGTCAGTAGCCTACCGAATTGAATTGGTAATTTGTCTCCCTAATTTGCATACGGGTAGGCTTTTTGGCGATTCTCTGCAAATAAATGATGAAAACATTTGATGAAGATGGTGAATGCTCCTTACTGCAGGAACAATAGGTAGGCTAGTGGAGAGAGAGCCTCACTCTGGTCTGTATTGTATTAACCAGGTATTTATTGTCACTCTCTCAGATCCTGTCTCAGATCCAGTGGTATGACAACCTCATCGGTCCAGTGGTAGACTCCCTCAAATACCTCACCTCGCTCAACTATGACGTCATGGCCTGTATCCTTACTCTGCCATTTCGTGACTTGCTGTTTTTACTGATGTATTTATACACATTCAGTACTATGTTTAACTATGTATTTGGAATGCTCTAGTCCAGCCATAGTAGTCAGACTGTATTAAGACTTGCCATGTTGTGCCCCTTAACTCGTTGCCCATAGATTGCATTATTGAAGCGCTGGCCAATCCAGAGAAAGAGAAGATGAAACATGACGACACTACGATATCCTCCTGGCTTCAGAGTGAGTTCACTACTACAGCAATGTGGGGGGATTATTTGACTTGGGTTGTGTTCAGGAGAAAATATTTGGAAATGGTGTGAAAAGGGGAGGTACCACCTGAACTCAGATTTTCATTTTACGTTACAAAATGTTTTACTACAGTGTACCCTACCAAACACGACCCTGATGTCACGAATCAGCTTTATTATCAAAGGGGCATTAGGGTGGGCTTTAGTTCCATGTAGTGACATCCCAGTGCAACTCTACTTTAGTTGACCGTGTTTTATGCAACATATGTCTGCTTGCTAACTAATGATCTGCTGACCTTTCTCCTGTCTCCTATCCAGGCCTGGCTAGTCTGTGTGGAGCGGTGTTCAGGAAATACCCAATCGAGTTGGCCGGCCTCCTCCAGTATGTGACCAATACGCTGAAAGCAGGGAAGAGGTAACAATAACTCCTCGTCAGGCAGACAGCCACCTCATTGGCTTGCTGGCTCTGATTTGATTCATTGTGATGGAGTCTGTCGCTCGTAGTCAGTCAACTGGGTCCCCTCTGTCTGGCCAGGCTCTGGGCTGAGAGGTAGGGGCAGAGGGAGAGGAGCCTTGGCTGTTGTTGTGCCTCCCTGCAGGGCCCTGGCTTGGGCAGAGCTGCTGAGTAATGTGGTGTTGATGAGGAGGATGCTGACTGTGTGGGTGTTTGGGCACCCATGGAGGAGGGGAGGGTAATTATCACAGTGCTGGTCTCCCTGTAATGGCTGGAGTCAGCAGGTAGCGAATCACACTAGGCTCCATGGCAACTTTCTCTTGATCCCTCCCTCCCTCTCCCATCCTTCTCCAGGGCCAGGGATGCAGGGGAAGTAAATAGAGGTGGCTCTCTGCCATAGTGCCCATGAAACAGCATGGGACAGAATTGTCATGTAGATTTGCTGAATTATACTATTATTAGTGCGCTGTCCTTAGCTACTCCTATGATTGTTTTCACCCAACCGTGTTTGTTGACACGTGTTTCTTTTTGTGTATGTGCACATACTATTTGTTTGTCCGCATTCACAAATATGCATACAATGTGTTTCTGTTGTGTTTTCCCCCCACTGCAGTTTTGACCTGCTGATTCTAAAAGAGGTGGTGCAGAAGATGGCCGGCATCGAGATCACGGACGAGATGACATCAGAGCAGATGGAGGCTATGACTGGAGGGGAGCAGCTCAAAGCTGAGGTACAGGGCCATCTTTAGTCTGACTTAAACGTTGAAACTATACACCATGACTAGCTCAAAGCTGAGGCACATTGCATTAGTTGGACTATTGCTCAGCATGACTTGAAATAATTCAATTATATTTTCTTTCTGTCCCCAGGGTGGTTACTTTGGTCAGATCCGTAACACTAAGAAGTCGTCCCAGCGTCTAAAGGATGCCCTGTTGGACCATGAGCTGGCTCTGCCCCTCTGTCTCCTCATGGCCCAGCAACGCAATGGCGTGGTGTTTCTGGAGGGGGGCGAGAAACACCTCAAACTGGTGGGCAAGCTCTACGACCAGGTACGTACTCATAACCTGCAGAGGGTAAGTTGAAGTCATGTCGATAAGCTACATCAGGGGAATGGAATTCTCCCTTGTTTTCATTACTACATTTCTTAAACATTACACAGCTGACAATGATGTTTAGTTTAATTCCCCCAAGTTGCCTTGAAGCTGTGAGGTTTCCTCGTCGATAATCTCCCAAAATTGCCTCTGTGTGCCGTATTGGGCCACATTGATGGATGGTTTTAATAAACCAGGTTGTGTCCTTAAACAAATGAGGAACTGTGGGATTAATAACACACAAACATGTCTGTGCAATAAGGGAGAATGAACTCCTTGGTATGTGTAAAAAATAGCACCCTATTTCCTATATAGAGCACTACTTTCGACCAGAGCCCATGCGGGCCCTTGTCAAAAGTAGTGCACTAAAGAAGGGTTAGGGTGCCATTCTGGACACTCTGACTCTCTCCCCTGTCCCCTGGCTACAGTGTCACGACACCCTGGTCCAGTTCGGTGGCTTCCTGGCCTCCAACCTGAGTACTGAGGATTACATCAAGCGTGTTCCCTCCATCGACATCCTCTGTAACCAGTTCCACACCCCCCACGACGCTGCCTTCTTCCTCTCACGCCCCATGTACGGACATCAGATCCTGGTGAGTAGTCTCCTTCCCTCTGGTAGTTCACCCTTAGCTTGTACAATATGACCAATGGATACATCCACAGTGAGTATAACAGATCTACAAATATATTCAATACAAACTCATACGACTGCAACCTTGAATTGATGTGCACAGTAATGCTTTGAGAACACTGGCCATATAGAGTTCTGGAAGAAGAATGGTTTTAGTTCCAGAGAGCGACAGCCGCGCTCCTCCCATGTGCTGTGTAACCTGATTTACTGTCCCCCTGGCCGGGCGTGAAACATCCTGAGTTCCCCCTCTGCTGCCGTCACACGACATGGTCACGCCATCTGAACAATCACATCTGACACACATTCATCATGTCAGGTTGTGTGTCTGGGAACAGATCAGACTCACTGTCCTGCTGGGAGTCATGTATAGTACAGCACCATGGATCAGGCTGACCCAGGCTGCTGCTTTCAGACTGCATAAACTCCTGTACTGAAACAGTGTCCCCTCCTCTCTCCCCAGTCTAAGTATGATGAGCTGAAGAAAGCTGAGAAGAGCAACCGGCAGCAGCAGAAGGTCCATAAGTACGTGGCGGCGTGTGAGCTGGTGATGTCGCCGGTGCATGAGGCCGTGGTGTCCCTGCACCCGCCCCGCGTCTGGGACGACCTCCGACCCCAGTTCTACGCCACCTTCTGGTCGCTGACCATGTACGACCTGGCCGTGCCACACAACGCCTACGACCGCGAGGTGAAGAAGCTACAGGTCCAGGTCAAGGCTATCGAGGAGAACCCTGATGTGGTGAGTCACATCATCAGGGGCATGTTCATTAGAGCACACAATGGAAAACAGTTTTAAAAGATTTGCTACGGAAAATGAAAATTAGCATTTCTTATTGGACCATGTAGTGGACAAGTCCAAGTAGTCCCTCCCTGTTTCAGTCTGTTTTCTTATGTTTGGTGCCTAATGAACAGGACCCCAGGCATCTATCAGACTCCTTGATACTGCAGCACACAGAGACTATTCTCATCTTCCAGTTAATCTCTCCCTCATCAACAGCTCATTAAATGCCCTCCAAACACAGTCACACAGTTCATTGTGGTGTAATTGCAATGGTCTCAATTATCACTTGACTTGGAGAGTTATGGTAATTGCACTGTAATTGTATTGGGCTTCAGCTCTAAGTTGTTATTAGTGTTCTCTCTGTGTATGTGTTCTCCCCATCTAAACAGCAGCCTGTTTGTTTGTCTATGGTGTCTGCTGTCTGTCTGCAGCCCATGAACATACACTAACCAGCCTGTCTGTCTGGTGTCTGCTGTCTGTCTGCAGCCCATGAACATACACTAACCAGCCTGTCTGTCTGGTGTCTGCTGTCTGTCTGCAGCCCATGAACATACACTAACCAGCCTGTCTGTCTGGTGTCTGTCTGCAGCCCATGAACATACACTAACCAGCCTGTCTGTCTGGTGTCTGCTGTCTGTCTGCAGCCCATGAACATACACTAACCAGCCTGTCTGTCTGGTGTCTGCTGTCTGTCTGCAGCCCATGAACATACACTAACCAGCCTGTCTGTCTGGTGTCTGCTGTCTGTCTGCAGCCCATGAACATACACTAACCAGCCTGTCTGTCTGCTGTCTGTCTGCAGCCCATGAACATACACTAACCAGCCTGTCTGTCTGCTGTCTGTCTGCAGCCCATGAACATACACTAACCAGCCTGTCTGTCTGGTGTCTGCTGTCTGTCTGCAGCCCATGAACATACACTAACCAGCCTGTCTGTCTGGTGTCTGCTGTCTGTCTGCAGCCCATGAACAAGAAGAAGAAAGAGAAGGAGCGCTGCACGGCCCTACAGGACAAGCTGCAGGAGGAGGAGAAGAAACAGCTGGAGCACGTCCAGAGGGTCCTGCACCGCCTCAAACTGGAGAAAGACAACTGGCTCCTTGCCAGTAAGATCCTCTCTCTCCCTCTCTCCTCCTCTCTCCCTCTCTCTCTCCTCCTCTCTCCCTCTCTCCCTCGCTCTCGCTCTCGCTCCCTCCCTCCCTCCCTCGCTCTCTCTCTCGCTCTCTCTCTCTCTCTCTCTCTCTCTCTCTCTCTCTCTCTCTCTCTCTCTCTCGCTCTCTCGCTCTCTCGCTCTCTCGCTCTCTCGCTCTCTCTCTCTCGCTCTCTCACTCACTAACAGCAGGCTCTGTTGTTGGGACAGTAACACCACAGGACTGCTAAGCCCCCTCAGCTCCCAGGAGGCGCCTCAAAACCAGCCTCATCTTGTTTGTTTTAGCCCAGTTAACGAGCATGACCGACCGACAAGTAATGACATTAATATGGAGTTGTTTGATTTAAAGGCGCCATAGTCCGTTTTGGTGGATGTGGGCTAATGGCAGCTGTCAACTCTCCCATTTCATTAACGAACACATCAGTCATATTTAACGATTTCTTTGTACAGCTGTACAACCCAAGCTAATTACATTTTAAAGGAGTGTGTGTTTGAACCTTCTCAAATCTTGCTTGAAGAATTAGTCACTCAAAAGATGAGTCATGGGAGTTAGTTGACTGCAATTCTAATTTACTGTTCTTCTCCCATCCTTTTTATTCATTTTCCTCTCTCCCTCTCTTTTCTCCCTCGTTCAGAATCCACCAAGAATGAGACCATCACTAAGTTCCTGCAGCTGTGTCTGTTCCCTCGCTGTATCTTCTCTGCCATCGACGCTGTGTACTGTGCCCGCTTTGTGGAGCTGGTGCACCAGCAGAAGACCCCCAACTTCTGCACCCTGCTCTGCTATGACCGGGTGAGACTTCTCCCTTTCTCTCTCTCTCTGTCTTTCTTTCTCTCTCTCTGTCTTTCTCTCTTTCTTTCTCTCTCTCTCTCTCTCTCTCTTTCTCTCTCTCTCTCTTTCTCTCTCTCTCTCTCTCTCTCTCTCTCTCTCTCTTTCTCTCTCTCTCTTTCTCTCTCCCCCTTTCTCAGTTTTTGCCCTCTACTATCTCTGGTTGTCACATGTCATTATACCATGGGATTTTCATCACTTCATTACTTTGTCCTGACCTCCTGTGTTGCGTGGTCCTCTCTGCAGGTGTTCTCTGACATCATCTACACGGTGGCCAGCTGCACGGAGAACGAGTCGCGGCGCTACGGACGTTTCCTGTGCTGCATGCTGGAGACTGTGACCCGCTGGCACAGCGACCGTGCCGTCTACGAGAAGGTACCCACTACGCACCTCTCGCTCTCTCACTCACTCTCTCACACACACACACACACTCATTCACTCACTCTCACACACACACACATTACATCCTCTTTCTCTCTCTCGCTCTCTCTCACGTTACATCTTCTCAGATCTCAAGTGCATAGGGTGTAGGGGCTAGGAGTTGATTTGGGGTTGGGCAACATTATCTACTGATATTACTAACATTCACACAAGTGTGGAAGCTGTATAATGCACATGTAACCAGTGTTAACACTTAATCTTGTCTGCGTGTTGTCCCCTCTTCAAGGAGTGTGGTAACTACCCAGGCTTCCTGACCATCTTCAGAGCCACAGGCTTCGACGGAGGGAACAAAGCAGACCAGCTGGACTATGAGAACTTCAGACACGTGGTGCACAAATGGCACTACAAGCTGACTAAAGTGAGTTCCTCCCTTTATTTCAAAGCCTTCTGAAGAAGTCAATCTGCTCTATTTGTCTTATTAACGCCCATTAATTTAGCAACATGCATGCCCCTCCAACCTGAGGATCTGTCTTTTCCTGTGTTTGAGGGGTGTACAATCTGCTTGTCACATAAATCTCGCTGGATTGATTGCTTTCATTTTACTGCTGTGACTCTTTCGTACTCTTGCTTGTGCCTGTTGTTTTTTCCCGTTAGTGTTACGACTGCGGAAAATGTTGTAATGACCTGTCAAACACACCCCGGTAATGGCTGAAATGGGCTCAATGGAATGCATTGTCTTTCTGTTGCATCTATAAGAACGCTGAAGCTTTGTCGGGGATTTAACGCATCGTCTTGACACTTACATCACAAGAAAGAGAATAAAGATATTTTGATGGGTGTTAAATTTTTTGTGGAATTGAAAAAAGTACGAATTTAATACAGTTGAAATTTTACAAATTAGATGCGCAGAAATGGAAGCAACTTTGAATATGAACACTTGGGTTATAGTGATGTCTGATCTCACAAACAATGTAAAGTATGCATAGATGGGTGTAATCTAGAGCCAAGCCTGTTGATTTTTTAATCTGAGGATATCCTGCTATTGAAACACTTGTTGAGTAATGCAACAGAAGGTGACAACAACAGTAGGGCTGTTGCGGTGACTGTATTACCGCCATTGTTCAGAATGTAATACTTTAATTGAAAAGAAACGTGACAGACAATGCTAGCAGGAAATTGTACCCGCTCTGGGTGAGAAGCTCCTCAAACATGAAGAGTCCGGTCTCCTCTGTATATGTACAGTATAATCAGAGGTCAGGCCAGTAACAATACACCCCTCCTCCCCTCTCTCCCTCTGTGCCCTCCAGGCATCAGTCCACTGCTTGGAGACGGGGGAGTACACCCACATCCGGAACATCCTCATCGTGCTGACCAAGATCCTGCCCTGCTACCCCAAAGTGCTGAACCTGGGCCAGGCGCTGGAGTGCCGCGTCCACAAGATCTGTCTGGAGGAGAAGGAGAAGAGGCCAGACCTCTATGCCTTGGCCATGGGGTAACACGGAGTCCACCAGCCATGTTGTTTGCAGTGCAGCACAATCACAGACAGTTCACTAGCATTGTGGGGTTTTAGTTAATTGTTGGGCGCAAGTGACAAGTGTTTTGCTGTTAGGTTTGTCAGTTCGTTGTGTAGCTAGTACCGACTAAGGGTGGTGTTAAATGGAGGTGTGTACTTTTCATGCAGAAGAACTACAGTGATATAGATGAAGTGGTATTGGATGAATTATCTTTAGGGAAGGTTGAGTTGTACTTTTATCCAGATGTTATTTACAATGGGAAGTACTTGTTGTGGATGATCTAAACAGATTTGTGAGATCAGATAAGTGATCTAGGTACTTTGTCTTGAGGTCAGTAGTAGAGGATGATCCTTAAGGAGCTGATGGGGTAATGAGAGCTGATCATTCATTAAGGTGTGGGTCTAGTATAGCTGCCTGGCTGTCTGCCCAACAGCCTGGGACTCCGTCAGTCATGTGGTGCAGCTGTAAAGCACTGGAGACAGCTAAACAGACAAACATAATCCTCTACAGAGCTTTACGGGATGTACCTGTCAAATCCTCACTTAGAGACACACACTGATCCCCTGTGTATGTGTGTGTGTTTGTGTGTTAGGGTTTCTGTTTGGAAAATGTGGCACCGGACATTTGACCGGCAACATTTTAATTTACCAGACATTTGAGAAATATACCGGACCTATATACATTTGGTGGGTTTCCACCCACCGTGCTCAAAATGACAGAAATCCCATTTAGAATAGGGTCATTCATATTACCAGGACATGCAAGTCGAGGATGCAACGATGTGCGGTCCTTCTTACCAAATTCTGATGTGCACTTTGAACGTGTTAGAACAACTGTCCACATTTACTTTTCGTCAGCCAACAAGACGAGTAATGAACAACAAAATCACTAGCCTTTGTACTATAGTATAAAGTTTAGGCTACCTATTCTATTGGTCAGCTTGTCGAGAAAGAAATGGCCAATTCCAAACAGACCCTGGAACAGTTGTGGGACGATAGATCCCAAATTCATACAACCAGTAGGCCTATGCTACATAAAAATAAAAAAAACTTTAAAAAGCAATGAGTCTGATGCAACAGATCAGAATGTTTAGCTTAAAATGTTAAACTATTATTTCTTCACATTATAATCACAGCAATGTGCACAAGGCAGCAGGTTACACACAAATGTACGTTCCATACTGTAATTAGCTGGAAAACACTGTTGTCAAAAGGGCAATGCACATGCGAGCAGTTTCATGTGACAGAGATTAAAATATCTGTTAGAAATGTAGAAAGAGAGGAGATCTAATAGGCTACTTTGAAGCAAGGTAAGACATGCCTCGTATTAAAACGTTCAGGTTTCAAACAATTAAGTATTGGTTTTCAAAATGCATACTGCCTCCAGCTCATTGCAAAGTTGTGTGTGACGCGCTGATCAAGCCTGCCTTCCATTGCCATTTGATGCAGTGTATGTAAAATGTATGCACTCACTAACTGTAAGTCGCTCTGGATAAGAGCGTCTGCTAAATGACTAAATTGTAAAAAAAAAAAAAAAAAAATCAAAACAACTGGGAACTGGGAAATCTCAGACTTCCGACTTCAGTGTGTTCAAGACAACTGGGAAAATAACTAGCTCCGACTGGGAAAAATATTTTGAACGGTCATTCAACTTGGAATTCCAACTCGGGAACTCAGGCCTCTTTCTAGAGCTCCGACTTTCCAACCTGAAGATCACTGACGTCATGATTTGACCTTGTATTTTTCCAGAGTTCCCAGTTGTCTTGAAAGCACCTCAAGATGCTGCAGCAGCAGCTCTTGCACCGTCTGACTGATTTTCCACTCAAAGGCTCTGTATCTGTATTCTGTACGCGTGTGATAACTAATATACAGTGAGGGAAAGAAGTATTTGATCCCCTGCTGATTTTGTACGTTTGCCCACTGACAAATAAATGATCAGTCTATAATTTTAATGGTAGGTTTATTTGAACAGTGAGAGACAGAATAACAACAACAAAAATCCAGAAAAACGCATGTCAAAAAATGTTATAAATTGATTTGCATTTTAATGAGGGAAATAAGTATTTGACCCCTCTGCAAAACATGACTTAGTACTTGGTGGCAAAACCCTTGTTGGCAATCACAAAGGTCAGACGTTTCTTGTAGTTGGCCACCAGGTTTGCACACATCTTAGGAGGGATTTTGTCCCACTCCTCTTTGCAGATCTTCTCCAAGTCATTAAGGTTTCGAGGCTGACGTTTGGCAACTCGAACCTTCAGCTCCCTCCACAGATTTTCTATGGGATTAAGGTCTGGAGACTGGCTAGGCCACTCCAGGACCTTATTGTGCTTCTTCTTGAGCCACTCCTTTGTTGCCTTGGCGGTGTGTTTTGGGTCATTGTCATGCTGGAATACCCATCCACGACCCATTTTCAATGCCCTGGCTGAGGGAAGGAGGTTCTCACCCAAGACTTGACAGTACATGGCCCCGTCCATCGTCCCTTTGATGCGGTGAAGTTGTCCTGTCCCCTTAGCAGAAAAACACCCCCAAAGCATAATGTTTCCACCTACATGTTTGACGGTGGGGATGGTGTTCTTGGGGTCATAGCCAGCATTCCTCCTCCTCCAAACACGGCGAGTTGAGTTAATGCCAAAGAGCTCGATTTTGGTCTCATCTGACCACAACACTTTCACCCAGTTCTCCTCTGAATCATTCAGATGTTCATTGGCAAACTTCAGACGGGCATGTATATGTGCTTTCTTGAGCAGTGGGACCTTGCGGGCACTGCAGGATTTCAGTCCTTCACGGCGTAGTGTGTTACCAATTGTTTTCTTGGTGACTATGGTCCCAGCTGCCTTGAGATCATTGACAAGATCCTCCCATGTAGTTTTGGGCTGATTCCTCACCGTTCTCATGATCATTGCAACTCCACGAGTTGAGATCTTGCATGGAGCTCCAGGCCGGGGGAGATTGACAGTTATTTTGTGTTTCTTCCATTTGCGAATAATCGCACCATCTGTTGTCACCTTCTCACCAAGCTGCTTGGCGATGGTCTTGTAGCCCATTCCAGCCTTCTGTAGGTCTACAATCTTGTCCCTGACATCCTTGGAGAGCTCTTTGGTCTTAGCCATGGTGGAGAGTTTGGAATCTGATTGATTGCTTGCTTCTGTGGACAGGTGTCTTTTATACAGGTAACAAGCTGAGATTAGGAGCACTCCCTGTGCTCCTAATCTCAGCTCGTTACCTGTATAAAACACACCTGGGAGCCAGAAATCTTTCTGATTGAGAGGGGGTCAAATACTTATTTCTCTCATTAAAATGCAAATCAATTTATAATATTTTTGACATGCGTTTTTCTGGATTTTTTTGTTGTTATTCTGTCTCTCACTGTTCAAATAAATCTACCATTAAAATTATAGACTGATCATTTCTTTGTCAGTGGGCAAACGTACAAAATCAGCAGGGGATCAAATACTTTTTTCCCTCACTGTACTGTACGCAAGTTTAATTCCACTAAATTGTGCACATGAACCTATAGACCGATAATCATGACCAGTCAAATGTATTTTACATCAACTGGTATTTCCATCAATTAATAGGCTATCAAGCATTATTTTGCAATGGAATGCTTTCTTCTTCCCCCAGACAATTGGCTGGCACCAATGTTATTCATCGTCTTAAAAAAAAAAAAATCTCTCTGACAAAAGCCAGCCATTACCGGCTAACGGAAACCCTGGTGTGTGTGGAAGTGGAGAGATGTTATAATTATTATTAATTGCCGATGTGGATAGTGTTTTGTAGCTGTGGTGTGTCTATGGGTGTTTTAGTTTGGCATGTGTATGGGGTGTGATGCTGTGTGATTTCCCTGCCTGTACCTTGTGTAAACTCTCTGTGCATCTTACAGCTATTCTGGCCAGTTGAAAGGCAGGAAGGTGCACATGGTCCCTGAGAATGAGTTCCACCACAAGGAGCAACCAGTGCGGAGCGCCACCACTGCCAGCCAGCTGAATGGCCCTGGCACCACAGCCAAGCCTACCACCAACACCAGCAAGACTGAGGAGGGAGCCTGCGAGGACGCTGGTGAGTGGGGGAGATCCAACCAGTATGCACTGGGTCTGGCCTTCTGTCATAATATTAGAGGAAAGTATTAGAACATTCCTCCCCCTGACAATGATATTTCCCTTGTGGTTACATGTCACACAATATGACAGGTGTTTAGAATCTTAATTAGCATGAGGAAATGTGTTTTATTGAAAGGGCCATTGTGTTCATGCTGTTGCTGCTTCATGTTTTGATAGACCGATCCAAGGATAAATCTCAGGGGGCGGCGAAGCCAGTGAACAAAGCCAACAGCACAGCGGCCAAAGTGACCACCAGCAACGGGAATGGTGCTCCTAACAGGTAGGCATGGAGACTAGCCAACAGCAGCCAAACAGCGCTGGGGCTGGGAAACAACTAGATAGATATTTATTCATTTATTTACTGTTCTCAACTATTACGCTATTGCTCATGAATATGTTTTTAAAAAGGCCTTAATAAAACAGGAAAGAGAATCAATTGTTTGAATATTAGTGAGTCAGTGAATCCCCAGATTGGAATCTAACACAGCACTTTGAACTGGTGGATATAAAAACTAGACATCTGAAGTTTTGCCTCATGTATGATTCTATCCAGGTATTAAAGAATGACTCTTAAATGACTATTAAAAGAGAAAGTTGAATCATTCTTGGCTTTTGCTTATCTGCACATCCGTTGCATGTTAATGTTGAACTCTGAACCATGTCCATTCTGTTTCCCTCGCAGCACCAAAGCCTTCAAAGAGAGGGATGACAAGGAAAAGAGCGGGAAGGAGAAGAAAGAGAAGAAGGAGAAGACTCCAGGCAGCACACCGGAGACCAAGGGGGAGAGCCGGAGGGAGAAGCAGAGGGACGAGAGAGGAGCAGGTGGCAAGGAGGAGCGGGCGCCACGCGAGGGTAAGGAGAAGATGCCCAAGGCAGACCGGGACAAGCAGAAGGCGGAGGAGAAGAGCAGCAAAGAGGACAACAAGGCCAAAGCCGGCAACGGAGAGCCCAAGGAGCTGTCCAGGGAGCGCGACACTGGCGCCAAGGAGCCCAAGATCAAGGAGAAGGGAGGAGACAAGAGTGCTGTGTCTGTGTCCCTCAAGTCTCCAGTTCCCCGATCTGAGTCTGCTGAATCTGAGAGGGGTAAGCAACCTTACCGCCAACACTGGCTCTGCACTTATACTGTTTCTGCTGGTTGTCAAGGGGTAATTGGAGCTATTAGTTTGAATGTGCCAGTTGAAATTAGAAATTAATTTAATCCTCCTGTTTTTTTTCCAGATCACAAAAGGCGAAAACTCGATACCCACTCTTCACCATCCCACTCTTCCTCTCTCAAGGTTAGTATGGCCTGAGGAAAGCTGAGCCCGTGTTTCTTCCCTTTCTGCCGGATCGTTCCCAACTGTTGCGTGTTCCATCGGCCCTCAAGATCACCAAGGAGAGTTCTCATACACACAGGAAAGCCCCGTCTGGAATCACCTTCGTAAACCATGGGAGTTTGAAAATAATTCCATTTGGACTTTTCCTTAATATATTTCCTGAGTGGGGATAATCATCAAGGACTTAGCCAAGAGAATAATGTATATATCGATTATTTGAAATATTAATTTATTTTAATGTGAAGGAAAGCAGTAAAAGTGCCTTGGAGAAGAGAGGAATATGTGTTCCTGTATTCCCCACCCTTTTTCTTTTTTTGAGAGTGATATTTTTCCTCAAGTAAAATTGCTTCCAAAGTCATGAGATTTTTCGTTTTTTGCTGGCAAGCTGAAAAGAAGATTTATTTGGATTTTTTCCCCCTCTAAGATCCCCCTGGTATTTTCCCAGTTCAAAATAGCACCCAAGATTAAGAGTTTTTTTTCCCCATTTTCCGGCAAGCTGAGAAGATTTATTGGTTGAAGTGGTGTGACGTGTTTTTATTTTCCTTTGAATCTGCGGGAATCCAGCAGGGGTGGTGGGCTGAGTTCGGAGTCGCACAGTGTCTTCAGAAGAAGTCTCGGTATCTGCTGTTAGCTCTGATCTGTTCAAAAGGCCCGCATGCAGCCTCAGTCTGTACCTACGCTTCCACTCAAGATGTGTACACAGTCAGTCGCTCCTGTGGTCCACCTACAACCACCAACCCCCCTCATCACCCCTACCACCCTATCACACGCGCAGTGGGAACCCCAGGCACCACCAGCACCCAGGCCCACGGAGAGCAAGAGAGGAGAGGCAGAGCCTCAGTTTTACACCGGCCAAAAGTACAGGAGGAAAATAAAGCCTGCCTACCGCCACAGAGAGCACGAGAGGGAGAGAGAAAGTGTGGGCGAAGCCTTCTGGATCTGCTGGAGCGTTGCCTAAACCGCTTGAAGCTTGTGATAGGTCTTAATGTTTACTACCACCAGAGAGATAGGCTCCCTGTGTCTTATCCATTCTCAACTGTAAGTGACAACAACAGAGTGCTAAAACATAGGAGAGCAGAGCACACATGAAATTCAATTCATTTGTCAGATACACACACACACACACTCAGTTCAGTTGTTTTGTTAGTTTACACCACATGCACTATAAACAAAGTGTTCTGTAGGCCTCTTTGAGATGCTGCATTTAATCCCAGAGAATCTTTTGTAGAAAAAAATCACACACTTTCATCTCACTTCTCAGGGTTTTTCTAATCTAATGTAAAGCTGATGAGATGACCCCTGTTAAAGATAAATGAACTCTCCTCTCTTTTAATAACCTTGTGAAAGCCTTAGTCCTTGAAGGTCAGAGGTCAAGGGGGAAGGAAGTGTGACGTCGGTCCGTCCAGCCCCTGAAACCCCCCTCCTCCCGACTCTCTCCTGACCTGCTGTCTGACAACCCCCCCCCCAGCTCATCTGTCATCTCCATTCATTCCTACAGGACAATAGCAACGAACCCAAGGACTCTGCATCCAAGGTTTGGACTCCTCCTAAACACTACTCTATCACTATTCACCTTGACTGTTATCTTCATTCTCTTTCTCCAAGTGCTATGAGGAGGGGGTCAGTTAGAAGTACTTGGATGATTACACTTATTGAATGTGAAAATGTACCATTTTGCAGACAGTGTCCAAATAAATCTGACTTGCATAAGAAGTCATTGCTGAATAGTAAAACCTGAGATATCACCTTAGGCATGCCTGTTTAAGTCCGCTCTGTGCCAGGCAGCCAGACCTCCACACTAAGTTTTGATGAGTTCAGTGGAGTCATGGGAAAGATTAGAGAGATGTCCAGGACGGCAGACTGTTGTGTGAAAAGGTCCTGATTGTTTTAAGCAGGCGGCTTTTCTTCCTCTGCCTGTGATCACTTTCTAAGGCTGTCTCTGATGCCTGCCCGGGCGGAAGACTCATTAGCTATGCGTGTGATGTGCTGTGAAAACACTATGAGAAGGAGAGAGTAATCCTCTATTGAGCCCACATTACAGACCTGTCTCTCTTTTTCTCTCTCACACACACACACCTTCATCCATCCGCCTCTGTTCCATATTGATTTCTGATATTCGTTTAAAGCGAAACAGTTAGTCTTTATTAAGCTGTAGTTTTTTTGGCTCGTTTTAAGACCAAAGCCTGACATTCCTTTTCAGCACCAAAACCCCTATAAGCCTTAGTCCATATGTATTGGGTTGCGCTCAAATCAGTAGCCATAGCACAGTTGTTCCTCTGTCTAGATTCTCCCTCTCTCCCCCTGCAGACTGAGCTAGAGATGGTCTAGATGAATAATTCATACAGCAGGTACACGGTTGGTTTGTTGAATTTGTATCGAGTTAGACAGCGCACAGGTAGCAGTGCTCTGCTGTCAGTGGCCAGTGCTAGTCTGCTATTTTGATCTACCGCCCGCAGTGCCCACAGTCCAGACTCATGGTTCACTGTGAAGTTGTTGGGATGATATCTATGCTCTCTTGACTGAGCTGCAGTCACTGGTGACCTAGTTGTTGATGAGGGAGATGTATTGATATTTGTTTGGTGTCTGAATACTGATGATGATACACCTTACTTCTCCTCTGACCACCGAGTTAGGGATAGAGTTTAACTTTGTAGTGTCAATCTTGTTAAAATGTTTGTGATGTTCCATTATACTACACTGAACAAAAATATAAACACTATGTAAACTATTGGTCTCATGTTAAATGAGCTGAAAGAAAAGACCCCAGAAATCTTTCATACGCGCAAAAAGCTTTCTCTCAAATTTTGTGCACAAATTTGTTTACATCCCTGTTAGTGAGCCTTGCTCCTTTGCCAAGATAATCCATCCACCTGACAGGTGTGGCATATCAAGAAGCTGATTAAACAGCATGATTATTACACAGGTGCACCTTGTGCTGGGGAAAATAAAAGGCCACTCTAACATGTGCAGTTTTGTCACACAACACAATGCCACAGATGTCTCAAGATTTGAGGGAGCGTGTCAGTTGGCATGCTCACTGCAGGAATGTCCACCAGATCTTTTGCCAGAGAATTGAATGTTAATTTCTCTACCATAAGCCACCTCCAACGTTGTTTTAGAGAATTTGGCAGTACATCCAACCGGCCTCACAACCGCAGACCACGTGTATCCACGCCAGCCCAGGACCTCCACATCCGGCTTCTTCACCTGCGGGATCATCTGAGACCAGCCACCCGGACAGCTGATGAAACTGTGGGTTTGCGCAACCGAAGAATTTCTGCACAAACTGCCAGAAACCATCTATGGGAAGCTCATCGTGCTCGTCGTCCTCACCAGGGTCTTGAACTGACTACAGTTCGGCTTCGTAACCGACTTCAGTGGGCAAATGCTCACCACGGATGGCCACTGGCACGCTGGAGAAGTTTGCTCTTCACGGATGAATCCCGGTTTCAACTGTACCGGGCAGATGGCAGACAGCGTGTATGGCGTTGTGTGGGCGAGCGGTTTGCTGATGTCAACGTTGTGAACAGAGTGCCCCATGGTGGCAGTGGGGTTATGGTATGGGCAGGCATAAGCTACGGACAACGAATACAATTGCTTTTTACCGATGGCAGTTTGAATGCACAGAGATACCATGATGAGATCCTGAGGCCCATTGTTGTGCCATTCATCCGCCGCCATCACCTCATGTTTCAGCATGATAATGCACAGCCCCATATCGCAAGGATCTGGAAGCTGAAAATGTCCCAGTTCTTCCATGGCCAGCATACTCACCAGACATGTCACCCATTGAGCATGTTTGGGATGCTCTGGCTCAACGTGTACGACAGCGTGTTCCAGTTCCCGCCAATATTCATCAACTTCGTACAGCCATTGAAGAGGAGTGGGACAACATTCCACAGGCCACAATCAACAGCCTGATCAACTCTATGCAAAGGAGATGTCGCACTGCATGGGGCAAACCTTTCTTTTTAAAGATATCTGTGACCAACAGATGCATATCCCAGTCATGTGAAAACCATAGATTAGGGCCTAATTTATTGCAATTGACTGATTTCCTAATATTAACTATAACTCAGTAAAATTAGTAGAAATTGTTGCATGTTGCGTTTATATTTTTCTTAAGTGTATTTTATCATTTGTTATCTGAATCAGGATCGCATGGTGTGTTTGATTTGGTCCCAGAATTCTCTGCTCTTCGATCTCTTTTTCTCTTCTATCTCCAGTTTATGAAGCTGCTCTATATTTCCTAGTGATTTTCCTCCAGGAACTAACTGTCAGCCACTTAGCGGTTCGTTTACACTAAATGATCAGCAACACATAGTAGAATGTACAGGGTCTGCCTGGGCATATGGGCTTATATTTTAAAGTTAATGGCTTGGTAATAGGTACACACATATTCAGGAGGACAGGCAGATTTCAGCACACACGTTTCAAGGTATCCTCCAGTAAGTGGACAGAATGCCATGCAATGTAATTTTTTATCTATTTTGGTCTGTGTTTGTTTGTATGCTCATTCCTTACAGCACCACATCAACTACAATTCCGTCGCGCGGTCCAAGAGCAGAGAGAGGGAGACGGACAAGAAAGAGTCAGAGAATACCCGGGGCCGTTCCAAAGAGAAGAAGGCCGAAGACAAAGACAGAAAGGACAGGAAGAGAGTGAGTATTTTAGATGCCATGCTGCATTGAGAGAGCAAGGGAGAGATGTTAAAGGTGGACTCCAAGGGGGAAAGGAGTGTTCTTATCTGATCTTGTGCTTGTTCCCATCTTGATTTGATAAGACAAATACTTCCGAAGAATTCTAACCTATATCTTATTGTTTTGCATTGATTGTCAAGACTGGTGAGATTGTTATGATTCACCGTCCTTAAAGAAGTTCTCACAGGGGAAGTGAAATGATTGGCTCATGATCATTCGCACCTCAAATTACAGTGCCTTCAGAAAGTATTCACACCCCTTGACAGCCTGAATTTAAAATGGATTAAATAGAGCTTTTGTCACTGATCTACACAATACCCCATAATGTCAGTGGAATTATGTTTTTAGACATTTTTACAAATTTATAAAAAATGAAAAGCTGAAATGTCTTCAGTCAGTAAGTATTCAACCTTTTTGTTATGGCAAGCCTAAATAAGTTCAGGAGTAAACATTTGCTTAACAAGTCCCATAATAAGTTGCATGGACACAACTTGTTTGCAATAATAGTGTTCAACATTATTTTAAATGATTACCTCATCTCTGTATCCCATACAATTATCTGTAAAGTCCCCAAGTCGAAAAGTAAATTTCAAACACAGATTCATCCACAAAGACCAGGGAGGTTTTACTATGGTTTGCAAAGGACACCTATTGGTAGATGGATTTTTTAAAAAGCAGACATTGAATATCCCTTTGAGTATGGTGCAGTTATAAACGTTTGACTTTGGATGGTGTATCAATACGCCCAGTCACTACAAAGATAGACACCCTTCCTAAATCAGTTGCCGGAGAGGAAGGAAACCGCTCAGGGATTTCACCATGAGGCCAACAGTTAGTTTAATTGCTGTGATAGGAGATAGGTGAGGATGGATCAACAACATTGTAGTTACTCCACAATACTAAATGACAAAGTGAAAAGAAGGAAGCCTGTACATGCATACTGTTTGCAATAAGGTACAAAGTAATACTGCAAAGAAATTGAATACAAAGCGTTATGTTTGGGGCAAATCCAACATCACCGAGTACCACTCTTCATATTTTCAAGAATGGTGGTGGCTGCACCATGTTATGGGTATGCTTGTTATCGGCAAGGACTAAGGAGTTTTTTAGGCTTAAAAGAAATAGAGCTAAGCATAGAGGAAAACCTGGTTGTCTGCTTTCCAACAGAAACTGGGAGACAAATTCACCTTTCAGCAGGACAATAACCTAAAACAAAAGGCCAAATATACACTGGAATTGCTTACCAAGATGACATTGAATGTTCCTGTGGCCTAGTTACAGCTTTGACTTAAATTGACTTGTAAATCTATGGCAATACTTGAAATGGCTGTCCAAAAGTGATAAAACAGAGCTTGACTCATTAATACAATTAAATAATGGGCAAATATTGTACAATCCAGGCATGCAAAGCTCTTAGAGACTTACTCAGAAAGACTTACAGCTTTAATCACTGCTTTAATCACAAGTGATTGTAACATGTATTGGCGCAGGGGGTTGAATAGTTATCTAATCAGGATATATTCGTGTTTTATTTTCCTTTTATAAAAAAAAGTATTAATCTTCCACTTTGATATTAAGAGTATTTTGTGTAGATCGTTGACAAAAAATAAATGTTAATCCCACTTTGTAACACAACAAAATGTGGAAAAAGTCATTAGGTGTGAATACTTTCTGAAGGCACTGTTAACTATAAGTTCCTTGAATTTTCTTTCGTGGGTGCCTTTTCATTATCTGTTTAAACACTTGTGGTTTCTTGCTAACGTTACACCAATCAAAGCAGTGGAGCGTGTAGTGAAGCAAAACTTGAGTGATCAAAACCATAGGGCTACGGGGGGAGCGGGTTTGTAAAATGCTATCATGCAATTACACCATTTATAAAATGGTCATATATACACTACCGGTCAAAAGTTTTAGAACACCTACTCATTCAAGGGTTTTTCTTTATTTTTACTATTTTCTACATTGTAGAATAATAGTGAAGACTTCAGAACTATAAAATAACACATATGGAATCATGTAGTGACCAAAAAAGTGTTAAACAAATCATAATATATTTTAGATTTTTAGATTCTTCAAATAGCCACACTGCCTTGATGACAGCTTTGCACACTCTTGGCATTCTCTCAACCAGCTTCACCTGGATTGCTTTTCCAACAGTCTTGAAGGAGTTCCCACATATGCTGAGCACTTGTTGGCTGCTGTTCCTTCACTCTGCCGTCAGACTCATCCCAAACCATCTCAATTGGGTTGAGGTCGGGGGATTGTGGAGGCCAGGTCATCTGATGCAGCACCATCACTCTCCTTCTTGGTAAAATAGCCCTTACACAGCCTGGAGGTGTGTTGGGTAATTGACCTGTTGAAAAACAAATGCTAGTCCCACTAAACCCAAACCAGATGGGATGGCATGGCATATCGCTGCAGAATGCTGTGGTAGCCATGCTGGTTAAGTGTGTTTTGAATTATAAATAATTCACGGACAGTGTCACCAGCAAAGCACCCCCACACCATTTCACCACCTCCTCCGTGCTTCACGGTGGGAAATACACATGCGGAGATCATCCGTTCACCCACACCGCATCTCACAGAGACAGCGGTTGGAACCAAAAATCTCCAATTTGGACTCCAGAGCAAAGGACAAATTTCCACCGGTCTAATGTCCATTGCTCGTGTTTCTTGGCCCAAGCAAGTCTCTTCTTCTTATTGGTGTCCTTTAGTAGTGAAGGCCTGATTCACAGTCTCCTCTGAACAGTTGATGTTGAGATGTGTCTGTTACTTGAGCTCTGTGAAGCATTTATTCGGGCTGCAATTTCTGAGACTGGTAACTAATGAACTTATCCTCTGCAGGTAACTTTGGGTCTTCCATTCCTGTGGCGGTCCTCATGAGAGCCAGTTTCATCATAGCACTTGATTGTTTTTGCAGCTGCACTTGTAGGAACTTTCAAAGTTCTTGAAATTTTCCGGATTGACTGACCTTCATGTCTTAAAGTAATGATGGATTGTCGTTTCTCTTTGCTTATTTGAGCTGTTCTTGCCATAATATGGACTTAGCCCTATTTGGTAAAAGAGCATCTTCTGTATACCCCCCCTACCTTGTCACAACACAACTGATTGGCTCAAACACATTAAGAAGGAAAGAAATTCCACAAATTAACTTTTAAGAAGGCACACCTTTTAATTGAAATGCATTCCAGGTGACTACGTCATGAAGCAGATTGAGAGAATGCCAAGAGTGTGCAAAGCTGTCATCAAGGCAAAGGGTGGCTATTTGAAGAATCTCAAATATAAAATATATTTTCATTTGTTTAACACTTTTTTGGTTACTACATGATTCCATATGTGTTATTTCATAATTTTGATGTCTTCACTATTATTCTCTACAATGTAGAAAATAGTAAAATTAAAGAAGAACCGTTGAATGATGAGTAGGTGTTCTAAAACTTTTGACCGGTATGTTATGTATTTTTAATATAGACTAGTTATAAAATAAGTGAAAATTGACAAATTATCGCATGGATTATGATAATAAAAAAAGGGGAAAATATTGTACTTTTCTCCATGGCTCAGGCTGCCAAGTGGACACAAGGCTGTTTGGCTCATCTTTCGCGAAGAGGAATAACTTTGCAGGTGTTTCTGATTAATAAACAATGCCATGCTGGTGGGTGGTAACATTCAAATGAAACACAGCCCTGAAATTAAACGTAGGATAAACAATTTGTACTTCATATCATAGGAAAAGACACTGCATTCACACGGATGTGGGCTGTTCGGATTTGTCACTTCAAGCCCAAATATATCATACTTTACTAAAACTATGACTTATTGGATTAAATTGTCGTGCAACATCAAATCAAATCAAATTGTATTGGTCACATGCGCCGAATACAACAGGTGCAGACATTACAGTGAAATGCTTACTTACAGCCCTTAACCAACAGTGCATTTATTTTAAACAAAAAAAGTAAGAATAAAACAACAACAAAAAAAGTGTTGAGAAAAAAAGAGCAGAAGTAAAATAAAGTGACAGTAGGGAGGCTATATATACAGTAAAATAAAGTGACAGTAGGGAGGCTATATATACAGGGGGGTACCGTTGCAGAGTCAATGTGCGGGGGCACCGGCTAGTTGAGGTAGTTGAGGTAATATGTACATGTGGGTAGAGTTAAAGTGACTATGCATAAATACTTAACAGAGTAGCAGCAGCGTAAAAAGGATGACCCATGATGCTCAACATCATGGGTAAGCTCTGGCCATCTTCTTTCAGCTTGAAAAAGTGGATTTCTACTGGTGTGTAGGGCTGTTGCGGTGACCGTATTACCGCCACATGGCGGTCACGAGTCATGAAGGCAGTCAATAATAATAATAATAACAATAATGATAATTAGGCTTCTCCAAGCTCTGATGCTGCTGATGGTCATTAGTAGCCTACCAAACTTGCTAACTGCCTGGTACTCAGCACTTTATTGTCCCTCTAATCACTCTGACATCAATGCAAATTTCTTGAAAATCTAATCAAACACTTAATGAGAGCCCGTGAGCTCATGTTGCTCAACATTTCTATAGGCTATGCAATTGCACGAGAAAACAGAGTGATGGCCTCTATTAAAAAGAGGAGGATCCCATCAGCTTTCTATAGGCTAGGCCTACTATATTTATTTCTCAACTTTCCTAATATTAAGCCAATATTAAGCACATTGCTTATCTTTACAACAGGAGTATAGCCTACCTGGCTGGCATGAAAATGAACCACAGGAAAAGTGTCCTCCATTCACTATTGAAGTGCAGCGATGACATGTCTTTTTCCCCTGCCCCTGTTTCGAGACAGGTGAATGATAATGGTCCATTCTAAATCAAAACACATTTCGCACATATATTATTTATTATACAGTGGGGAAAAAAAGTATTTAGTCAGCCACCAATTGTGCAAGTTCTCCCACTTAAAAAGATGAGTGAGGCCTGTAATTTTCATCATAGGTACACGTCAACTATGACAGACAAATTGAGGAAAAAAAATCCAGAAAATCACATTGTAGGATTTTTAATGAATTTATTTGCAAATTATGGTGGAAAATAAGTATTTGGTCACCTACAAACAAGCAAGATTTCTGGCTCTCACAGACCTGTAACTTCTTGTTTAAGAGGCTCCTCTGTCCTCCACTCGTTACCTGTATTAATGGCACCTGTTTGAACTTGTTATCAGTATAAAAGACACCTGTCCACAACCTCAAACAGTCACACTCCAAACTCCACTATGGCCAAGACCAAAGAGCTGTCAAAGGACACCAGAAACAAAATTGTAGACCTGCACCAGGCTGGGAAGACTGAATCTGCAATAGGTAAGCAGCTTGGTTTGAAGAAATCAACTGTGGGCGCAATTATTAGGAAATGGAAGACATACAAGACCACTGATAATCTCCCTCGATCTGGGGCTCCACGCAAGATCTCACCCTATGGGGTCAAAATGATCACAAGAACGGTGAGCAAAAATCCCAGAACAACACGGGGGGACCTAGTGAATGACCTGCAGAGAGCTGGGACCAAAGTAACAAAGCCTACCATCAGTAACACACTATGCCGCCAGGGACTCAAATCCTGCAGTGACAGACGTGTCCCCCTGCTTAAGCCAGTACATGTCCAGGCCCGTCTGAAGTTTGCTAGAGTGCATTTGGATGATCCAGAAGAGGATTGGGAGAATGTCATATGGTCAGATGAAACCAAAATAGAACTTTTTGGTAAAAACTCAACTTGTCGTGTTTGGAGGACAAAGAATGCTGAGTTGCATCCAAAGAACACCATACCTACTGTGAAGCATGGGGGTGGAAACATCATGCTTTGGGGCTGTTTTTCTGCAAAGGGACCAGGACGACTGATCCGTGTAAAGGAAAGAATGAATGGGGCCATGTATCGTGAGATTTTGAGTGAAAACCTCCTTCCATCAGCAAGGGCATTGAAGATGAAACGTGGCTGGGTCTTTCAGCATGACAATGATCCCAAACACACTGCCCGGGCAACGAAGGAGTGGCTTCGTAAGAAGCATTTCAAGGTCCTGGAGTGGCCTAGCCAGTCTCCAGATCTCAACCCCATAGAAAATCTTTGGAGGGAGTTGAAAGTCTGTGTTGCCCAGCGACAGCCCCAAAACATCACTGCTCTAGAGGAGATCTGCATGGAGGAATGGGCCAAAATACCAGCAACAGTGTGTGAAAACCTTGTGAAGACTTACAGAAAACGTTTGACCTGTGTCATTGCCAACAAAGGGTATATAACAAAGTATTGAGAAACTTTTGTTATTGACCAAATAATTATTTTCCACCATAATTTGCAAATAAATTCATAAAAAATCCTAAAATGTGATTTTCTGGATTTTTTTTCCTCATTTTGTCTGTCATAGTTGACGTGTACCTATGATGAAAATTATAGGCCTCTCTCATCTTTTTAAGTGGGAGAACTTGCACAATTGGTGGCTGACTAAATACTTTTTTTCCCCACTGTATGTAAAGACAAGATTAAATCAAGAATAGTCTGATGGGTGACAATATTAACCTATCATTTGTGAATTATATATTATCACTTATGAATGATGCCCAGCTTAAGGCAAGAAACAATGCCTTTTTGTTGTGACTTTTTCTAATCATAGTCACACACCTCATGTAGCCTAACCCATAGGCCTATGTGTTTTGATAAGGTTTGTATCACAACTAAAGTGGCCAAATAGCTTCTTAAAATTAAGCACATTAATCCGCTTTACAAGTGGTGTAGCGCCTAACTGGCATACGTAAGCAGCGCGCAAATTTCAAGTTTGGGGAGATCATTTTCGCCATAAAAATGCACCTTTTTATAATAAAAGCATTACATGCATAATTGCATTTGCGGTCACTTTTGATAATGGTGTTTTCCGCTAATGGAACATTCGTGCTTATAGCCTACTGCCGTGTGCACATTGCTGCACTTATAATGTGAAGAAATAGCCTAATAGTTTATAAACATTTTAAGATAAACGTTCTGATCTGTTGCGTCTGCCTAATTTTTTTTTTATGCTAGTGGTTGTATTAGTTTGGGATCTATCGCATCCCACAACTGTCCCAGACTATGGTTGGAATATTTATTTCTCGCACAGAATAAAATAGGTCAACTTTTGTACTATGAGGGATAGTAGATTGACATAGGCTAGTGCTTTTGCTGTTTGTTAGGCCTACTCATCTTGTTGGCTGACGAAAAGTAAATGTGGTCAGCTCTTCCAATATCTTCAATATGCACCTCGGAATTGGATAAGGACGCGCACAGTTGCGTCCCCGATGTCTGTCTTCACTTGTAGCCTGTGAGAAAGACCCGATCACATGATGGAGAGCCATGTGAGTGAGATGAGAGGTGCTTCGGAGCAGGCAGTCGAGGCATTATCAAGTGCTTCTTAAATGTTGAATGAGAGACTGATGAAGTGTGTACAGCCTGCACAAAAAACAAAGCAGAGCTCATGCCTTTTCAAGCAACTTTTTTCAAATCATCATTAGAGTCGCATCATGCAGCCTTACAATGTATTACAAATCTAAACATATAGCCCAAGCCTAAACACAACTCAAGTTACATTAATAACTCTAAATTAAGCATATAGGAGTACCTATTTCTTTGTTAACTGCTCAACACAGAATAGCCTCATGTGCAAACTCCTTCAAATCGTTTGGAGAAAATATCCTTTCTATTTTATTCAGCTTTGTTCAGTTGTATTCTTCATACTATAAAATAATATAAAATAATGCCATGGAATTCTAAGCAAATCTTGTCTGCCAAATGAACTAGTGTAGCACACAGCCATAATGCATAGCTAGATCAGGACCTAACATAACGACAACTGAGTGTGCTTTCTTTTCTCCCGAAATAGACTAAATTTTCTTCATATCATGTTAGTTTAGACCTGTCTAAAATAAAGAATGGATTTATTGTGAAGGTGTAGGCTATATTACATGGACTTTTTCGACTTTTTAAAATGTAGATGTTCAGAAGGTCTGCATCAGTGGCTTGTAGGCTATGTGTGGAAGCTAGGAGATGCTAAATGTGCTCATGTTAATTAACGGTAAATTACCATGAGACTGTCAGTTATTTGCTTGACAATCACCGACTGACGAAATTTCGTGACCGCCACAGCCCTACTGGTGTGGGCATTTTAATTATTTTCCATCTTTTTTTAGGACCATGTGACCACTGACCGCGAGATGAGCCTAGAATCCAAACGCAGAAAAGATGAAAATGGAACCAGTAAGTTATATCCCTGTACATAACAAGCATACGGATTTTAAAGCATCAATATTCAATATGGATATGATCAATATTCATGGTTGGTTCTTCTTCCTCTTCTCTCCCAGATTCCTCCAACAAACACAGCAAGAGCGCCAGTCCCTCCTCAGACTCCCCGGTCTCTGCTGACAAAGAGAAGACCAAGAGGTCCAAGTCCTCCAGCAAGGAAAAGGGAGAGTCTGCTAAACCTGAGAGAAACTCTTCCGGGGGCAAGAAGGTAGGTAGTACTGCCCTGGTCCTGGACCCTAGCAGAACACAACACAGTGGGGCTCAGTAATTTCCCTCCCAGGTAGGGGCCATAGTCTCCTCATAGTTTTTTAGTTTTTGTTGCTGCTCAGTCAAAGCAGTTAAGCTTTAATGGTCTTGGCCCAGCCATGACATGAGTGGTGTGTTTTTGTACAGCTTCTCTGGCCCTTTTAAATAAGTAAAGGAACTGGGCTGCTGCTGCTGCAGATGAATAATTGAACCAGCACCAACATCACATATGTGCATATAGGAACTATTGGCCATATGTACTGTACATACATACAGTTTGTAGCCAACACATTGGTGGCCCAGGTGTACTCTGTGCCACTGGTGGCAGTAGTGATGTTTTGATTGGCATGTGTGTTTCCTGTCTACTGTTAAAGGAGTCGAGGCATGACAAAGAAAAACCTGACAAGAAGGAGAAGAGGGACAGCAGCGGCGGAAAGGAAGAGAAAAAACAATATCCTTAAATGTTCTGGGTAATGCTTCAGAACTGAAATTATGGAATTAATTAACTTCTGGAGCCCTAGTATTTGGTGTAATTATAATTGTATTAGCTTGAGTACTGTATATATTTTCATTTAATTTATTCAATGCAACGACCAGTAGAAAATATTGTGTCTTTATAGAAACTGCTATTATCTCACAGGGACATGTTTATTACCCAACTACCTCGTGGTAGATGTTCTGTTGATCGTTGTAGTAGGTATCCAACAAGTGAAAATACTTTGACTGTTTATGAATTTTTTCCTTAATGGTGGTACTCATAAGTCCTCCGACAAGCACAGATAATGTGATCTAGGTCAGTCAGCGAAGGTAAGTAGTAATTGAATACTACACTGAACAAAAATATAAACCCAACATGCAACAATTAAAAATATTTTACTGAGTTACAGTTCATATGAGGAAATCAGTCAATTGAAATAAATTCATTAGGCCCTAATCTATGGATTTCACATTAATGGGAATACAGATATGAATCTGTTGGTCACAGATACCTTAAAAAAATCAGATCAGAAGACCATTTAGAGTCTGGTGTGACCACCATTTGCCTCATGCAGTGGGACATCTCCTTCGCATAGAGTTGATCAGGCTGTTGATTGTGACCTGTGGAGTGTTGTCCCACTCCTCTTCAATGGCTGTGCGAAGTTGCTGGATTTTGGCAGGAACTGGAACACGCTGTCGTACACATCGATCCAGAGCATCCCAAACATGCTCAATGGGTGACATGTCTGAGTCTGCAGGCCATGGAAGAACTGGGACATTTTCAGCTTCCAGGAATTGTGTACAGAACCTTGCGACATGGAGCCGTGCATTATCATGCTGAAACATGAGGTGATGGTGGCGGATGAATGGCACAACAATGGGCCTCAGGATCTCGTCACGGTATCTCTGTGCATTCAAACCGCTCGCCCACACAACGCCATCTGCCAGGTACAGTTGAAACCGGGATTCATCTGTGAAGAGCACACTTCTCTAGCATAAAGTGGTCATCGAAGGTGAGCATTTGCCAACTGAAGTCGGTTACGACGCAGAACTGTAGTCCGGTCAAGACCCTGGTGAGGATGACGAGCACGCTGAGATGGTTTCAGACAGCTTGTGCAGAAATTCTTCGGTTGTGCAAACCCACAGTTTCATCAGCTGTCCGGTGGCTGGTCTCAGACGATCCCGCAGATGAAGAAGCCGGATGTGGAGGTCCTGGGCTGGCGTGGTTTCACGTGGTCTGCGATTGTGAGTCCAGCTGGATGTACTGCCAAATTCTCAAAAATTACGTTGGAGGTGGCTTATGGTAGGGAAGTTAACATTAAATTCTCTGGCAACAGCTCTGGTGGACATTCCTGCAGCCAGCATGCCAATTGCACACTCCCTCAAACTTGAGATATCTGTGGCATTGTGTTGTGTGACAAAACTGCGCATTTTATAGTGTAATGATCATTGTGTTTAATCAGCTTCTTGAAATACCACACTTGTCAGATGGGTGGATTATCTTGGCAAAGGAGAAATACTAATTAACAAGGATGTAAACAAATTTGTGCGTATGGAACATTTCTGGGATCTTTTATTTCAGCTCATGAAACATGGGACCAACACTTTACATGTTGCGTTTATATTTTTGTTCAGTGTATATATGACAAATTAATTTACATCATCCCAATTTAACATTATTACCTTTGACTTTCAAATGTTTGTGTGATTTGGTCAGTGTCTAAAACATCTCTTATTTCTTCCCCTCCTTCCTCACCCTCCCCATCTGTGGGCTGCAGCAGACCTGGAGAAGCCGTGCTTCTAACCCAGACAGTCAGTCACCCTCCCTCATCCTGTACCACGTTGTTAACTAGTGCTCTATTTTCTCTGCCTTGTTCATTCTGAGAAGAGGCCGCATCTCAAATGTTACTCTTATTTCTGCCTGTGTTGTTTCTGTTGTAACTGCCCGCAAGTGATGTTAGTTGTAGTGTTTGGAACTTGCAGATCTATTCTTCTTGTTTTCATTTCAGTGTGTTTCAGTAACCAGCTGGAACCAGCTTTTTTTTTTACTTTTGAATATTGGCACAATGTGCTATTCAAATCACGAAATGATATTCTACTCAGAAAGAAAACTGGTAACTGTATTAAATGCTCTCTTGAAATCATCAGGTCATACATTCGATAATCACAAATGCTTGATGAAAAAATTAACATGTTTTATGTTGTCAGGCTCCTCCCCTCTGGCTTGTTTTATTAGCATTAATAGACACTCTCCATATTTGCATTAGCCTCATTTAGAGTTACATGTCTATTTATTTATCCTCCTTTTAATCCAAGCAAGTCTTTAGGCATAGATTGAGTTAAATGATACAAATGACCAGTTTGTATATTATGTGTACAATAATAAAGAAGGTAACATGTAAGTCATGTCATATCTGTTATGTTTATTTTTCAATGTCCCCTTGCTATGTCCATTATGCGATTGTGTGTTATCAGGTTTTTAAATAATTTGTAAAAGGACAGTTACTCCTTGAAGCAAATAAAATAATTGTAAAAATGTCAAAGCTTTGTACTCCAAATACAAATGTTTCAGAAACAACTTTTTGGAGTTTTTATCTGCTGTATTCGACAAGTGTATGCTTTTTTAAAACTAATAAATGATAGTTTTCCTAGTGAGCCATTCGTGTTTGATGTCCTCTTCTTTTTACTTTTAGGGTTATGTGCCATCCCACTTCACTTCTTACAGTGAAGCTGACGTAACAGACTGTTCAGTGGGTCAGCTGCTGATATGCTATAGTTCTTAAGTCAAGTATTTACTCAAAAGTTTTGCCTTCTACATTGACACAACTCTAGACTTCCTCTAAGTTAGAACGTTTCAAGGTCCCACACTGAAATGGTTCACAGAGAAAGCTCTAAACCTTGCATTGCTTGATGTGAAGCCTTGCACAAAGATACATCTCCAGTGTTCAGCAGTGCTATACAGCCTTATAGGGAATGCTGTTAGTTTATTTTCTGATACGTACAGAAAGCTCTTAAATACATTACAAATGTATTAGTCTAGTGTTCAGACAAGGCTCCCAGTGTTGTTGATACTTTACAGTGGAGACATTCTCTTGTTCCTCTTTGCCTCAGTGTTTTAGCTTGATCGTAAATCATACATGAGTTCATTGGCTTTACATCATTTATCACACAAAAGCCCCAGACCAAGTCCTGTCCAGTCTGGCAATCCTGCTAGTTTATACCTGGCTAGCAAGGCACTCTGCTGCTATTCCTCTACACTGGAAACACCCCTCTCTCATATCCTCTTTGCAATATAGTGCATTGTCATTAAAAAATTGCTCACATAAACCATTCGCCTGTAATGACATTCTACTTCATGGCAACCCATATGGATTGTCCGTATTGCGTTATTCTATGCCCGTTTCAAGATAATGCTTGGAGGATGGCAAGTTGGCTGGATAAATGTTAATATTTCCTGGTTTCTTCCTGTGCAATACGTGGCACGGTATGATCACTGGAGATATGAGGATGATGAAATATATTGTTCCTGTATGACAAAGAATACCATTCAATATCTTAAGAATATTCCAAAATAACCAATTTTAAATCCATTTTTATTTACAAAATGTAATAAAATTCTTTGTACAGGACCTCACTAACGAGGTTCAGTATGTCCACACATGCAGTTCTTGTTATCACTACGCAGCTTGGCAATTTTCTCATTGCTGAGGTGCAGTTACAAATAAAAGAAAACCAAAAGACAAAAAGGATCAAATGAGTTATAAAGTTGATTGTTTGCTATCGTCCTAGGGTCTGCTTTAGGTTGCAGTTTGGTAAAGCGATCACCAATTTCGCATGCATTTTACTTGGGGAAAAATTATGAGAAGCCTTCATTAATAAAATCAACTAAACAAATATACGTTTCTTAACATTTATGGTTCTCCGTGGTTCATAAAGAATTATCATATTCATCATCAGTTTCGTCTTGGTATGTCTTCAAAGTGTAGTGGATCACAGTTTTTGCAGAAAAACATAAAAACACAGAAATACTCTTGTATATTCTTCTGATCTCTCTCTCCACGCTCATTGCTCATCATTCACTACATAACTCAATCTCAACAGAAAACAAACGGGTACAAAGAAAGTCATGTAAATTACAACCAGATATAGTGTGCTATTATTTATCCAAAATGTTAAGATAATAGAAAGCTTACTCTTTAAAGATACCATTGGATTGCATTGCAATAAGACTTACATTTATCAACCTTTTTCCATTTTAATGTGTAAGAAATGTAGCAGTTTTTGATTAAGATGAGGACTTAAACCTTTTATATATTGTAAAAAGGGGTGTACTGTTTATAACAAACACCTATTATGCTCAGTAGGCCTATACTGTAAATATGCAAGTGTTCTCTACAACTGTTTGTCCTCTGTTCAATCAAAAACCTCAATAACAATATGGCACCATATGTGTTTTAAAAACTGATCACATCTTCATAAAAACTGTTTTCAATTGAACATTTTTGGCAGTAGTGACAAGTGTGGCCCAAATTAAATATAACATTTATTTTAACCAGTCATGTTACGCTGCTACCATGATGATAAAATGGCAGCTTGTCCATCAGGCGATCAGAGAAAATTGACAGCGCCTAAGACATTTAGAATAACCAATGGTTTCAAATTATGCAAAAATTGTAAATACAAAATGAGGGTACAATATTGTCATTTTCTATTGATCCTGTCCTATTGATTGAAGTTTGTCTTAGATTATTATATGACATTGAACATAATTGAATAGTAAAATAGGCAGATGACTAGTACGTTAAATAAAACACATTTTTTAAATAAACGATTTACCACTAAAATATGCCTTTTAAAGGATTGAAATGACTTAAAATGTCCTCTGGGATGAGTTTCTTAATGGCAAGTAACGGCATTTTTTTCTTCAAAATAATTCTACAAAAACTTTCCCACGTATAGATTACAATAGTATCAATGTTTTCTTTCCTCCCCTATATTATTGTGTGATTCTTGTATTTTCAAGTGAACCAAAATTGAGTTGCATTGCTGTGACGCTGAATGCTCCATAAGGCACTAAGAGAGGCAAGTCCCATATTTCAAGAAGCAAGTCCTATTGTGTCACCGTCGTTGATTATCGTGCCAGGTTTGGCAACCCAAGATGGGCATTTGTTGACTGTGGGTTTGGGTCCAAGCTGATGACCATGTCTTTCGCCTCGCCTCCAGGGTGCCAGCCATAGTGGGTTGTATTCTTCCAGACTGACTACCTTCCTCCAGAGAAACCAGCGGAAGGGACAGACTTCAGATCTGTAAAACCGGAATGGGATTTCAACAGATTTTTTTGTGTCACCATAAAATGTTATATTTTTCAGTAATAGGGGAACCTACATAAAAATATAGAGTATTTGGGCCCCTTGAAGGCTAATTTCAACAGCATTCAAAATGAGTATTTGTAGCCTATCCTCAACATAAAAATATTATAGAACTACTATACAATACATGCATTTCTCATGTTGAAAACATTATCAGCTTATCATAACATTGTGTTGAAATGGCATACAGTTACAGGGTGACATTCATTCAGAGACACTTAGTGCCCAAGACAACTGGGACAAAATGTTGGAGACACATACCCCCTAGATTTTAACACTCTCTGTTCCATACACATTATAGCCTTCTCGGTACGTGGCAAAATTCTGGGTGTTTGCCGGAGGAGCTGGTTTAAAGTTTTGGGCATTCTTAGCCAGTTTCAGTCTTTTGGTTTCTGCCCGTGACTTATAACAGAACTCTATCAAAGCCACAGTCATAGCAAGCCCTAGCCCTCCAACCAGAATATAGAAGACTCCCGCCACATTGCTCAGGCTTAGAGCACTTGTCTTGTCCTGGGGAAGGTAAAGAACAATGTTAAGAATTTTCTACAGACATTGTGGTTGTGACCTGATCAAACAAGACAGGCAAAATCTCCCCAAGAGGCTTCTGACTCAAATCCAGCTCTAATGTAGACGACGCCCCCACTATTAGGCTGTGTTTACACAGGCAGCCCAATTCTGATCTTTTCACTAATTGGCCTTTTGAACAATCAGATCAGCTCTGAAAAATATCTAACGTGAAAAAATCTGATGTGATTGGTCAAAAAAATATAAGAATTGGGCTGCCTGTGTAAACGCAGCCTAGTAATGTAATGGATTACCCTAACAACTCTTTATGGTTCTATCAACTGTGTAGGCAGTGAATCCCATGGAGACATGCCTACTGTGGGGTAGTATTGAGGTAAACGGCAGAGGCTGACCTGCTGAATGACTTCGCTACAACAGTGGAAAGCTGGGAGCAGCTTGGGACTGTCTGGTAGGTCAGTCAACCCTCAACAATAGCAGGAGGTGGTTCAACTCTGCAGGTAGTTTATAACAAAGCTGGATTGGTGAATGTCGAGAAAAAGGTTTATTCTACCCTGCTCTGTAGCTCGTTTACGAGGCCACCCTAAAGGAAGGTGGTCAATGTCGTACAGGTCAAAAAATTGTTGATAGGCCCTGACTTCACTATGATATTGTAGTTCTTCAAATGTACCATTATCTGACTGTATCTCACAATTTAAATCAAAGTGGCAAGCTGTAGGAATTGTGAATTGAACCATTTTTCTGCTACTAACATCCGAACTTGGATATTGAAATTCATTTATAAGAGTTTTACCATTTGCATTTTAACCCTATGAGTGTGTCCTTTAAAGTGTGCTTTGTAGACTATAATAGGGGAGCCCTGACTTTGGCTACAGGGCCTGTGTCCTGTCCTCTGACTATCTCAGAGGGTTAAATAACTGGTTTATATTAGATCCTTTAACTTCATGAAGTGTGCAAACAAAATGTCCTTATTGTGGCATTCCACAGTTCAAACATGACCTTCAGATTCCATCTGATCACTGTATGACCAGCTGGGGTTTGAAAGTTAGTTTGGAGTTTGTCAGAGTAAGGAAGCTTGAAGTCACACTGCATAATGTTAATAGATTCAATATACTCAATTAGCACACAAATAAGTAAGGACACTAATAAACAATATTTCAATAAAAGTTTGGTCAACAAAACAGCAGCAAAATGGTTACAATTCAATGGTTGTCATTTTTCTATGTTAAGTATGAATACAAATGTAATTTTAAATTTTTCCAAGGCATGCTGCACCTTTTCAACTATCAATACATACTGTATGTCTAAGCTGTGTGATGAGATCTTAGGAATTATCATTATCATAATAGTAATGTAAACACTAATAATGTGGACAGTATTGTGGATAATGAAGTATGTGTAAGGCAAACTATGGGATGGATATTGTTTAGACTGTTTTCACTTAGACTGTGTTGCATTCTATGGAAAGGAAAACGAAAACAAAACAATCGAAGAAAAAAATATATGTTTTTGAAAATGTATGGTATTTAAGTATTTGCATATGAACAGTTAAGTCAAAATGCAATTTGCAATCAGTATAAAAAGACCTGCAGCGACTGACCTTACTTCCAGAGTCCTTGGTTCCACATTCACCCTTATCGTACCACCATTTGTTTTTCAGCTTGTCTAAGATGCCTTGTTCACTGAGTTTCAATACGGCAAGGTTTACAGGAGTTCTTCACATGGGAAATAACATAAATAACATTATATTATGTTATTTTATGTTATTCAAGCTTTAAACTACTTCATACTTTACAAAGCGATAGAGCAGGGTCCTGGCCAACACAACACAGAGAGCAGGCAAAACTAACTGTTACCTTTCATACACCAGGACTAACCCCTACCGTGCCAGACCCTACCCGTATCGCTTTGAGTAATCGGCACACACTGTTCAAAAAAGAAAATATTGAAACTAGCAGAATGAGTAGCTACTGTTATATAGTTCTATACATACATAAAAGAAGAGGTGCAATTGTTATGGGCACATGTAGCTTTTTTAGCAAGGTGGATCTAACAGGAACCCTTTCTTGACTAACAGGCACACAAAAACCAGCAGTCCGATTTTGTTCTAGCTGACGGCAGCCAACGCCTCACAAAATACAGCCCTTCACTGCATATGCATCCCCACAGCCACCTATAAATCCTGCTCAGAATAGGCTTACATAGGCCTATACTGTGCAAATAAAATCAATCACATGTAATGTTGAGAGCTACAAGAGAGTGGTAGATATTCTAAATTGGAGTAATATCGCCAATCTGGTTTTCTATCATATCAATATATTGATTCTATGTAGGTCTGTGGCTGCATGATTAGTATTATATAGCTACGTTTTCAACTTCTACCTGCAATGAGATCAATGAAATCTACAGGTAGATTTGACTGACTGAGAAATGAAAAGCCAAACAGTTTCTAATTAGTTCTCAAGTAGGGCGTTATGTTTGTAAGACATTATGCTATCTACATGACTGCTAGATTTCTGTGTTTATTTTCTTTCTGAAAAATGATCTGGGTTTGTAATTTAACTTCATTAAATATATTGTATTCACCACTGTAGTCTTCTTCATGCATAATATCTCATATTTACATAAAAGATGAGTGTAGAGAATGTGAGGTTATTTGATCTTATCTGGTTATACGGCTTATTTTCACAGCAATTCAGACAAATACTTTGACAACCTTTATGGTTCGCTACTAGTCTCAGAAAATAACTATGTTAATAAGGATGAGGTTAGTTTTAGCAGCTTTGGACAATTAGTACTGTCTCCTGCTCATACTGAGCTGTTGCTATGGACATGGCAAGTTACATCGGTCAAGGTTCCAGTACTGGTATCAGTATGGGCGTAACAGCAGGACAAACTGGGTGCGCTGACTTCTGTTTCCCTACCAAGTCCCCAAGCAGGAAGCTTCCCTGGCAATGGCATGGCTATTTGGTCTGGAACCCATTTTGTAGAGTATAGCAATGACAGACATAGGGAATAACAGTGTTATAACAGTACCATAACATAACAGTGTTATTAATGTATGATGTAGTCATGGAGCCAAAGATGAAAACAGGCGATGAGTTAGTTCCCTCTTGCATGACCCGTATCCAGGGCTGGCGGGGGAGTCCTATGAGGGCATGCAGACACAGGAAGTGACCCACAACAGGAATGACACAGCAACTGAGAGGTCAGCTGACTGAGAGAGCTGACTGGCTAACAGCGAGATAGAGGACTGTCCTCTGCTAGCTAACGTGTCACAGAGGGTCTGTCTGTCCAGTAGCAGAGGGGCTGACACAATAATGACACATGCTGATGTGTGTGCTGTACTGAGCATGCCTCTCAGATGGCTATCACCTTGCGCCTGTGATTTCTGCTGGCTGCTAGGTAGACATGCTGGGGCCCATCCAGTCTTGATCCAGTCCAACAACAAGGAGGAGCAAAGTAAAAAAGTGTTCAGTTCTTTTTTGAGAGTATAACATCAGTGTCTGTGGTGGGGGAGGTCTATGGACTATTTCACTGTTACCAAGTATGATTCAGGAGTGCTGATCATATGTGTAGTCTGCACTGCAGTTTAGGTGCAGCTTGTGATAGGTTGAGGTGACAAAACAACAACTGGAAAACAATACAAACAGAACACTCCCAAAACATACACAAAGACAAAACTATACAATTAACACACACAGTATGAACAGTTCATGCAAAATATCAAATAATGTCAAAACAAAACATGAGGACAAAAGATGCACAACTTAGAAAACATGACACACAGAAGAAACATGATTTACCCATGGAGGTGTAAATGATGTCTTTACACCACCTGATTCTCATACATCCAAATATATTTATCACAAATAGTTACTAGTTCCAGTTCTTAACCTGCTGTATTAACTTTTCTTGAGTATATGTCTGTACTAACATGAGGGATATTTTTTATTTTTAATGTAGCCTACTTTCATTTGTGAGCTAATTCCCCTTGGTATTTGTGGTACTGTATAATTAGTGTCATTTGCCAATGTCAGATTGAGCTATATTTATAGTGTTTTTAGAAGCTGTGTGTCTAGAATATATTGGGTTTCCCTCTCTCAGTGGTTATTACATACAATATATTTGAAGCACATTGTTAAAGTACCAACACATGCATTTTTAGGAATAAAAGAATAAACCAGAAATGTGTCAGGTGCGATATCATAACATGGCTGAGTCTACCCTCTCTCTACCAAGGATTCAAGGCAGATTGCTTGCAGGACGAGGCAGCTGCTTTGTGTTGCTCTTCTGATAGTATTCATGTCCTGCTTACGCTCAGGAATGAATGACTAGAGTCAACAACATCAAAGTCAGTCTGCCTGGTCTTCTACAATGTGCCAAGTGTACTGTGGTTATGGGGCAAGCAGAAGAGTAGAGACAGATACGGATCCACAGTCGGGCTGTCGCTGTGCCTTCGTGTTCTGAAACACAAGATCAGGTCATATTTTCCACCCTCTTGCAGCGTTTCATTGGTCGGGGCCGGCCATGGGTAGGTAGACTTTGACTGGTCTTGGAGACTAAGACCAATCAAAGGAATCTGTCAGGGTGACAAGCTAACACTGGTTTACAGTGATGTTATTGGTATCAGACAAAAGTTTGGACCATTTGGTGTCACTTTGTCATTAGAATTCTCACGTTTGCCTGCAATGCTTAGTCCCCTCAAGACTACGCTGTTCGCCTCGCCTGCCCTAGCACCCAAGGTTGAGGCAGTTTGGAGAGTGCTACCGTACACCTCAGTGCTAGGGTTCATGGACACTGCCAAGTTATTCTCTTCATCAATACTTAACTCAACATAAATTGCAACAAATCATTCATCCACTTTCAGTGAAAATTGAAAGTGAAAGTACGTCTAAGTGAAAATGAGCATTATAATTCTACCATGTTTGCCCTGTGGATATAAAAAGCAGAGGAAATGTACAATCACCCCTTCTGTACATTCTGCCCTTGACAACCACAGGGCAAAGACCTAAACTAAAAAGCCTCTGGAGAAATTCAAGAAATATCTCACAGTACAGCCCTGCTGTAGAACAGAACACTAACTTCCCAAAAGAGGTCTCACAGTATGCTATCTTACCAAAGATGTACTTAACTACCATTAGGAATAATAATCAGCTTCAACTCCTCCTCTCTTCTTCTGTACGTGCAGTAAAATAATACATCATCTTTTTCTCAGAAATATCTTAATTGTTACTGGTCTTTTTCGTCCATTAGCCAAGTAAAGGGTTCCCAGTTTGATCTCAGTTGCACGATAAAATAGAAAAAGCCACACAGTTTTCTGTTACAGGGCCATAGTGGGCTGTGGTTGGGGCCTATAGGTTACAGTAGTGATATAACAGCCTTGCCGATTACTCTACTCTACGATACCCGATTTTGGTGACATTGAGGCTGACCTTGGAGTCACCTCCCCCGCTGCCGCACTCTCCCTTGTCGTACCACCATTTGTTTTTCAATTTGTCCAAGAGGCCTTGCTCATTCAGTTTTAACACTGCCAGGTTAACAGCATTTCTTGAAACGATAAAACATAACTTGTAAGAAAATGAACAGGTCCGTGAGAAATCTAATACTATAATATTAGTCAATTGTAATAATAGTAATAATATCAAATGATTCATAAGGGGGAGCACGAAAAGGACAAATCGGTAAAGAATTTCACCGGTGTGGAGAGGTAAGAAGCGTTTTACAGCAAAGAAAGTGTTAAATATTAGAGTGGTGGTATGGAGGGTTACATTGCTCAGAACTGAAGTGTGGGGGATGGGACACTGTCATTGAGAATAGAAGTATAACGACAACATTCAGCATGCACATTAACATTCATCATAAGTGACAGTGCAGCTTTTAGCAAGTTAAGTTAAAGAAACACATTGAACTGTTAAATTAGAAGCAATACAGAACTGCCAGAGAGGGACACCACAGAGAACAGAGGGAGGAAAGATTGAGGGGAAGAGAAAAACAAACGACAGGGGTGGGTGGGGGGGCATATCAACATACAAATGGATTTAGTAAATATGTCTAATATACCAAGAGTACTTTCCCTTTAAAGAGAAAGAAAAAGACAGCAACACAGACAGAAACAAACCATAGAAATAGAAAGAACATGACAGAAATCGCTTTACGTCTAGACGAGGGTTAAAGAAACACCTACAGATGTCGGATCTTAATTTGACCAGTTTCGTCGTAGGAGGAAAATAATCCTGCAGCAGGAGGATTTGAATATCTGAATAAATATTTAGAATCGCCACCAGGGGGCTGCTGGAAGCAGTGTTTGTAGACAATGCAGGACCATACTTACATTGTAGGCTACCTTCTCTAGTCTATGTGTGGATTATAATAAATTGACATATTTGTAGGGGGTAGATGTATTTTTCGTTAGGGAAAATCTGTTTTTCTTTGTGCTTGTTAAAGCATTGTGACCTGCCCATAGTGCAGTGGTCTAAGTAACTCGCTCCGCCTGCGAGTTTCATGAGTTTGCGCCCAATGCTGGGCGATCTAGTGACAAGCCTGAGCCTACCTTAGGCCCTTAGTTATCTGCATTTATTTCAACATTTTCAAGAAGTAAAATGAATAGTCTGATAATTTACACATCAGAGAAAAGTGTCTCAGCTCAACAAAATCGTCTTTGGATAGGCTCAAATGCATAAACATCTTGACAGCTTTACGAAATGAAATATTAAACAATATTACACAATACAGGCTTTTAATCCACACCAAAGACCATACCTAAATTGACTAATTATACATAGCCTAACTATAAAACGTGGGCGAGCATCCACACTGGAGGAAAGTTTATCGTTCTACAGTAGGCCTACCTCTGTCAATCAACTGATGGCCCAAATCAGCTCATCAACTCAGCCAGGGAAACACAAACAGTAGGTTATTATCGGTTTTCACACCTTTCATTATGTGACAGTGGATAGGCTAACGGGTAGCCTACATAATGTAGCCTATTGGAATATAATCAAATAACAAGGGGCCTATTGCAACCATCAATACACTCTAAATTCACCCACACAACTGATCTCAATTGCAACCATTATTGGTCACCTCATTATTACTCCCTAAAAGATGATGACGGTGTTACCTAGTCCTGCTTGTGTAGCGGACATGAGTCGGTCATGGTCACGTGATGTGGTAGCCCCACCTGTGAACTTCAAAACCAGTGTCTGCCCTCGGCCCAAGAGTCTAAAACGGTCTAAGATGTTGGTTACTCCTGTGGGAGACCTTGGTTCATATCCCACGTGTTACACTTGCAACCAAAGTCTTTCAAGGTATCGCCCTCTGGTTGGTGTTGTCATTGGAACAACTTAGCCCTTTTTGAACAGACTAAGGGCGATTGACAAGCACTCCATACAATAGAAACATTTTTTTCCTCCTTTACTACGCAAATCTACTGTGGCAATTTACCCAACACTTTGTATGAATGGAAACTAATGTTGGTGTAGCCTACTGTTATTATTTTATTTGCTTCCTACTTGTGTTATCCAAAAGTGTCTGTTATGGTCATTTCTTATCAAGATCGGGGCTAGAATATCCCTGGACTGTCCATATTTGAAATGTGTAATTTAAATCAGGTAAATCGGGGGGATTGAGTTGTTTGTGCCAGAAAGGCGATGGCCGACATGGTAGGCCTATATGTGGGCCCCGAAGGCAGCGGCCCTAACCACTAGACCACCCCAGGCCACGATTGAACTCAATTTTGACAGTTCATTCGTAACCTTAGGATACACTTGACACTTCTATGTCGTAGCCTATTGGAGACCAATATCTATCTTGTGTTATTAAGCTATATAAAAACGACGGTTGTAGATGTGAATGGCTGAATTTCAGATACATTTATGTACATTTAAATGTTGCAGTAATAGGACCGGGGCCTAGCGAGCGATAACATTATTTTGATAGAAAGCCCTGATCCCAATGACTTGACTGCCCCTGCAAGGAGAGAAAGATTATTATTATTTTCAGGGATTCACAAGGCTCATTTGAATTTCCTGATGCAGCAGGAAAATTCTATGCGACAAAAGAGTGATCAAGTTAAGATCCGACATCCGTAATAAATACCTTTTACTTCCTGATGAACCTCAAAAAAGAAAAAGTAAGGAATGAGGAAGAAGAGAAATGGGACAACACGAGACATCAGGGTAGGTGGAATACTATAACAACATGGAGAATATTGTTATATTATCCCACCCACCTTAATGCTGAGCCTTTAGGTGTGGCCACACCGTATCCCTTAGAGTCGAGGTTGCCGCCAACTTTCATGGTGTCACAAGGTTTCCGCTGCTCAATGTACTCATTCATAGTGGATTCAAGAAGAAAGGCGAATTTGCCTTTCGACTTTCGCACTCGGGCAACCCCTTCTGGTGTGGTCTTGGCGAACACTGACGGTTCAGCCGATTTCATGTAAGACCACATTTTTTCATAAACTGCTATTTTGGAGCGCTGCATTTGGGGAGAGAGGGAGAGAGAAGACAAAAACAGGTTAGTGGTGTATTTAAAAAATGTAGACCATAGCATTCAGTGCTTAAATAACACACTTAAAACACACACATACACCTTCATATACAGTGTACATCTTTGCCATGAGTCATTAGAGTGCTGTGCTCCCAGAGAGCTGAGTAAAGGAGTTGTTGTAGTGGGCCTGTTGCCAACAGCAGATCTGAGATCTGACAAGCTGGCAGCACACTACAAACAAAACTGCAGGGCCATGTTTCTCCTCAGCATTCATCGACAGGACGACCACTTGACTGACCACCTGCTCCCTTTCAACATCCCCCCTTCACCCCATGAGGTCACAAGACAGGAAGTGAGTCAGTGTGCCGTTTGACTTTGGGGTTCTGGAGGTGTCACCTGGATGGAACAGTGGGGCTGCTGCCACCTGGAGCAGCAAGATGATGTGCTGATAGGAAAACAGAGCCATGCCCTGCCCTGCCCTGGTCTGCCTCCTGCCCTGCCCAGACTGACTCACACCCAGGGAGCTGCGTCTAAAAATGGCCTTTGAGTGGCTGGCTAAACTAGGTTAATGTGACCTTCCGCCGAGTGACCGACTGAGTGGGGAAAACACTGACTGCCTGGGAGGAAACTTTGCAATGGAAGTTTTCACGATCAAAAAAGTAATGCGTATAAATAGCCTATTCATGGATTCAATTAGCAAGTGAATGCTTAATGCAGAGTCAACTTGGCAATTATATCTATGGCTATTGCCCAGGGCTCCAAATAACATCATATAATGTTGATAAATAGATTATACTATTTGATCTGAGAAGGTCCATTTCTGGCAAGTATTTGCTTGGTCATATCTTTTTCACTTTTTAATGAACAATGGGCTCACCATTATTAGCTGAATCAAGCTAAATCTAACATTACATATCAAATTACAGTATGGCTTGGCTACTGTGGACCATTGTGAATTGTAGTGTGAAATGTATGACTGTACTAACCAGATAAACAGATTGATCACATACAGCCAGCCGCCCGCCCACCCACCCACACACACACACATCCACACCCACACCACACACACACACACACACACACACACACACACACACACACACACACACACACACACACACACACACACACACACACACACACACACACACACACACACACACACACACACACACACACACACACACACAGACTAAGAAGGGCAAAATTAGCATAAAGCATCTCTCACCTAATTCCTCTCTAATCCATATTGATTGTGCATTAAGCACCAGTTCTGGTGTGCTCTCCAAAATCAGTCTACAGACCCAGCAGGAGCTCTGAGGGGGGAAAAGTTTCCAAAGTTCCTGCTGGCTATTGACTGACTAATTAAGCTTTGGGGATATAATTAGCTGGACGTTCAGCTGTTTCTTCTATCAGGTGGTGGCACACCAGCGCAAACATAACAGACACTTTCTCATATTACTCTGAATTCAGTAAATCCTCATAGAACGTGTCAACCGGTTTAACAGAGGTGGCTGTATACAGAAAACCCAATGTCACTTCATTTCATGCGGAGTTAGCAGAATATGAATATATTACATGACTCTGACTGTCATAATTATGACACAAGTGCTGACAGAGTGCTGTGGGTCTGGGGAGGTGACAGCACCGTGACAGCTGATTTGGGATCCTAATAGTCTACAGAACCCCTAACGGCCTGAGACCCTCTTCACTGCTCCTCTGCTCTTTATTGGGAGGGATGAGCTTGACTCCTAATAAACTTGATGATTCCATCTTTGGACTGTAATGTAAACTATAAATAGGGCTGTTGAACATAATGAACACCTTGAACATAATGGCACTGTATCCTGTAGAGATGGCTGGTGTTCTCAGAACAACTGATATGTCAGGGAGTAGCATCAGATCAGGGGGTATTCAATAAATGAGCCAAATATGAGTCAACATGTTCATTATTAATCAAGAGAAAAACAAGCAATGCTGCAGTCAAAACATTAGTCTCTGATATGCATATTCACCATCTGCTGCTATGTTGGCATCAGCATCACTCTGCTCACATATTTCACCTAATATTCACAAATGTCAAGACTGTCATACCGTTCTCATCAGTGACAGTTGCTTTTACACTCACAGCACACCAATGAATTGAGTGAAATTGAGCTGACTTAGTATGTAATCTCGAACAATGGGGAGTCACCTTCCCTTACAACTTATTCCCAATATCACCCCCCAAGAGAGGTGAATTTTACCCCCTGCATCACACACTCATTTAAAGAGTACAGGGAGAGACCATATGGGAGGTGATTGCGGGGTTGGGGTTGCTCAGCGGGACATTCCGTGGAAGCTGTTGATTCTTATGCACCAACAGATGTTGAACCCTTATGGGTGTCTAGATCAAGGGCAAATATTTTCCACTGACAAAATCAGTGAAAATCTGCAGTACATTCAGCTCCTATTAATGCTATTTACACCTCCATGATTGTCCGGCAAAAGGAAGATTCAAATCGGTTTATCTTTTTGAAAAAGGGGCCTTTTGTGCAGCAGGGCCCTCAGCCCAGTTCTCAGGAAGAGAAGCCATAATAGACTGGAGGGAAGGGAACCTGAGCTGTCTCCACTGAAGGTAAGAGGGGAGATGGCATTTACACAATACAGGTGACATGAATGAATGTGACCAGAGAATCCTGTAAATTTCACGGAAGGTGCTTTAAATGTTAATACTGAAACCCCGGTGAGAGCACTTTTGTTATCACTTAAAACATATCAAGACAAATTATTTTCGGTATTATGTCAGATGGACTACAAGAGCCAAGTTTAAGACACCTGACCTGATCAGACTGATATTATGGATGTTATATATTATAGCATATGCATTGGACAGTAGTTACATGATAATATCTGCTCAATCCATTCTGAAAGATGGATGCATCTAACAGAACATCAATATCAATGCATTTCTGAATAAAATAAAGCTGTCTCCCTGCATTGTATCATGAAAATTTCAGCAGTAGCTGGATATGTAATGAATTTGGGGCCGTGATTGAATCACGCTTGACATTTCGGTGGGAGGGACCGTTCATGTAAATAATGGTAAATGACAGTGATAGTTCATGACAGGCTTAGCAATGCTGTGTAAACAGAGGGTAATGTCTGGGTAAAGATGTGTCCAGCTCCTCTGCTTGTGTTATTTGGTTTCAGCAATCATATGTGGGCTAAAGATCTCTTTTGTTCAAACGCAAATCTATATTCATCTATACTACAACATAAAAAAGCACATTGTAAGTAATTTCCCGGCCTCAGAATCCATTTGCAAAATAAATAAATATTAATGAGCAGATGAGCTGGCTCCCACAGTGCAACACAAACACCTCCAGCTGTCAGTCCATCTATCAACTCTCCATTTATGTGCTCTGAATGCTTCACGGCTGTTTGCTCAGGTCCACCCCACTGGCAATCCAAAGTAGGGATGAGTTGGCAAATAAATCATTTGCATTCTGTCTGTATGCAGAGTGCCTGTCCACATGCAATTCTTGGATGTTCTTCTGGACAGTTATACGACTGCCAAAAGTATTCAGATTTACTCTCTGGAAACAACATATGTAACTCAAACAAAAACCTGCAATTTCATTGGATTCATAATTCATTTCCTAGCATAAATCAGGATCTATAACATGCACATGCCTGCTTTGGAAATGAGATCTCTGAGCTCAGTTAATTTATCTTCATGTATCACATACAGGCTGCCATACCTAAGATTTTGTCAAACATATTTTTTTACCCTAGTCGGCTTGGGGATTCGAACCAGCAACCTTTCGGTTACTGGCCCAACGGTCTTAACCTCTAGGCAACCTGCTGCCCCATGACAATAAATGGAGAAAAAAAATCAATTTCATATGTCTGAATATTATTCTTCCGACACATTGACAACAAAGGTGAGGGAGCAGTTGGGAGAGCATGTGATGTACTACGGTAAATCCTGAAAGGAGTGAGGGAGAGGAGGGAAAGTGAAGTTCAGCCATTTGAGGGATGACCTGCCAGTGTGTCATCAGAGCAGATTTCCATTTGCCTGGTGGCTATATGACTCTAATTAAGCAGCACATCTTTCCTGAAGAACATATTTAAAATGTATCTGGAGCCTCTATTTATTAATTAATCTCTCTCGCTCTCTCTCTCTCTCTCTCTCTCTCGCTCTCTCTCTCGCTCTCTCTCTCGCTCTCTCAAAAGTCCCCTGGAATGGCTGCTCAGTCGTTCACATGCAGACTCTGATAGCCACCTGTCTTGTGTATTGTAGCATGACTTTCTTAAATACTTCTTATCATAGCTACTTCCATATTTTCTGTCAGGTATCAAACATAACTAAATATCTATACCATTCCCTGTGCTCCTTCCTTTGATGTCTTGTCTGGGGTTTTTTACTACGTTTTTTTCTAACTGTAAAGAGACTTAAGTTGTGTCTGGGGAATAAACCCCCAGTTAGCTTAGTCACTCACCCTAAAGAACTCCTTGGTGGAGCCTGAGTCTAGGGTACCGTAGGCGATCTCTGTCTGCTTGGCCAGGTCCTCAGCACTCTCTATGGGAGACACCATCCTCTCCACTGTGAGGAAGGCAGCCAGGTTGGCCGTGTAGGAAGAGATGATGATAAGGGTGAAGAACCACCACACACCCCCCACGATTCTGCCCGACAGAGACCTGAGAGAGGGAAGGAGGAGGACAGAGGGACGTGAGAGCAGGGTGCTCAAACCTACACACTGACAAAGGGATGGAGGCTGCCATGCGTTTGGAGTCCACTGATTCCTGTTTAGAGTCTGTGTATCTGCAGTCTGGGTATCACACACCACGTATTGACATAAATGCACCGCCTCAGAGCATTGCCATGGAATGATCTTGGATTTATGTCAAATCTCACCCACATACCTCAACGATAATGCTCTTTACACAGAGAAAAACATGGTGTTGCTGAAAGAGATGCTGTACCAGCCTGGTTGCTCTATGATGCTTGCCTGGAGGGCTGTGTTGTGGCTGAATGACACCACACACAAACACAGCAAGCAGAGGTTATTGTGCATCTGCTTCAATGAGGCTGACGATCCCCATTGGCAAGGTAACTACTAACCTTAAGCTTACTGTAGTCTATCACGTAAACCGATACTCCAAGCGGGAGAGTGACATTTACTAAATCGTCTTCATCAAATCCGTGGCATTGACTCTTTTGGCATTTTATGGGCTCTTCAAATAGTACCAGACAGAAATGAAATCCTAACTCGCCACAGAATGTTTTGTGTTTCTTTCTGGGATTAATAGGATTAAATAGCTTGCCTTTTATTTAGAGGTGACTTTCTCCTACTCATGGAAGGCCACCACTCAGCTTTCAGTACGCAACACACTTCTATTTCTTGAGTAATGCTTCAAAACAAAAATCCTTTTATCCTTTTCATGGAGACAGTAAGGTAAAATATAACTGAGGAACGAATCCGAACGATCCATGTTTAAGTGTTGATGTCAGAGGACCGTTACCCACCCTATAGCACTGTAGCCATCACTATTCAGGTGAGACTGATGCTCAGCTCTGATCAACATGGCCTGGAACACTCTGTCATTGATCTTCTTTCAGATGGACTAGAATGGCCTGACATCCCAGACAAGATGAGGAGGGACAGCTTGAACAATGACAGTCCCCCGAGAAGGAACAAGGGACACCCCACAACAGTGATGATGAGTGAATAGATGGACTGAATGAATGAAAAGAGGAGGGAGAGGACGTGACTTTTTGTCTATATGAAAAATAATGAAATTAGTCATGAGGTGGGGGCCAAATATAATGCTATTAAGGTGCTTCATCAGAGTGCAAATGCATAAAAATGTTTTCCACTTTAAATACATTATATGCACCAGGCTGATGACCACAAAATGGGACATGCAGCAAAAACACGGTAGCCCTCCAAGAGTCATCGGGAATAGGAGAAACTACTCAGGGATGTAATGACCCTGCGCATTTTACAGTCCCCGGCATGGTGGATATAAGTTATTTTATGGATGCGATGCATCACTGCTAGCATGCAGCCTGGAGAGAAAGAGTGAGAGAGTGAAGAATGGTGGGGGGGGTGTTTGAAGAGTATGAGGGAGAGATGGAGTGTAGGTGGATGGGGTGGGCTGGATAGCAAAAAAGTCAAGACCAAACCCAAAAATAACATATACGCACCATGGCATTATGGGAGTTGTAGTGATTATGACCATAAAATGCAGAGAGATGGTACAGTATGTAGATGATGAGGATAGCTGAGTTTGAGGTGATGGAACATGGAGTACAGTAACCAACCTTGGCGAGATATCGCATCCTTGCTGCATGAAGGCGCCCAGAGAGAACCACAGGCTATTAAAAATCCCAAAGTCGTTTGGTGGGTCTGGAGGGCTCTGAGGGTCTTTGGCCTCGTCGTTTTCGTCCAGATGCCACTCATAGGGGCTGAAGCGGCTGACCAGGAAGAGCACCACGCTCACGCCGATATAGGCAAACACTATGCACATCCAGATCTCATAGGCCAGCGGGTCCAGGAAGGAGAACACGCCCGGCTTTGACTTTTGAGGCTTCTTTATCATAATGGAGATCCCCAGGCTCATAAAAGGCTTAGAGAAGTCTATCACCTCCTCTCGTACCAATGTTATAGTTAGAGGAGCCACTGCTATATCAGCTCTCTGGAAAAATGGGAACAGGCACAGGAGGAGTTAGTGGTTCAAAACAGAACACAGGCACATCACATCAAACTGCCTGTGTTATCAAAGCCTGACTTTGATTTTTTTTAAATAGAATGCCCATAAAAATGTCTTGATCAAAATCTGGTCATCAGGCTATTTTTTATATCTCATTATGGCTATAACAGATTTATAATGTATTGATGAAACCAATGAGTAGAGATGGAGCATGGTAAAATGAAATGGTGGATTAGAACGATTAATGCATTTAATGTCAGATATGTTTAAGAAGAAAGTGAGACCCGCCAGCTTAAAATGGGACAATCTCAGTTAGCATTAGTAGTGGCTAATGTCTCTGCCTTAATCCAAAAGAGCACATTACTCAGTCAAATCCTTCTATGAAGTAGAAGGTATGGAAACAGGAGGTTGAAGAGCTAATGAAACAGCCCATGATATTTGAATCCGCCTGGAAAATTCAACTCCTTTATCAGATTGTCTTCAAAGCCTCCTAGCCTTATTAGTGAAAATCGCAGATAGGTAATATATGTTCCCATTGATAGCTTTTCAGTTCCCAGAGTCAGAGTCACAACCGGACACAGCCTTGTCTTATAAATATGTAAATGCAATGCAAGGGCTGGGATCATCTTAGTGAGGATCATCCCTGTGAAAAACACAGCTCCCAGCCACTCCTTGTCTCAATATATCACTGGCTCATTTGCATGTGAATGGCTAATTAATGGTCTAGAGGATGCATTGTTGATGCAGAGAGGTGTCTCAGGGCTTGTACAAAGCCTGTCAATTATAACAGGGGATCATCTCTCTCTCTTTCAGCTCTCTGAAGAGGCACGGCTGTCATTTGGCAGAATGGTTGGTAAAATGTTCAATATGACAGGAATATGCTTTTTCGTGTTAAATTAAGATGCATTCAAATTATTGCTGCTTGCATTCAAACTGACACGCAGATGTCTTTCATTTTCACTTCCCAGTCTGTCTGTCATCTGTCCCTTAATGAAACATTAACCAGTTGGGGTTTTATGAAAGAAGAAAATGGGCTCATACTTACATATGCAGTGAGTGGTTCATAACATACAGTAATCAATCTTTCAATTAAGATCTGATTTATGGAGATACATATGGAGAAAAGCACACATCCAGTCAGTAGAGGATTGCGGGCCAGATCTGGTTGCTGGGTGGCACATATGGATCAGTGCTGCCACCGCAACAGTAAAAGGCCAGATCTGGTCCGAATGTGGGAGATGCGACCAGGGCGAGGGCAGGCACACTTTGCTTATGAGCCAGCTCTGGCTTGTGATATGTGACCCTAACAAGTACCCGTAGTTGCCGGGCCACTTTTGAATGAATGTGGGTCACATTCACCCTGCTGGGCAAGGTCTGTCCTTTTCATGCAGAAGATCTGGTTTAGGTGTGTAAACCAGATCTGGCCCACATACCTCAAGCCAGAGCTGGCCAAGCCCCCGTCCCTGTGTTGGTGACAGTGCTTCAGTACGTCGAGACTGTCACTTACCCCATATACCAGTTCACCCACCATCCCGTTCCACGTCTTGGTCTCTGGATCCCTTGCACCATACTTCCCGTCCGCAACTACTGACAGTTTGTATCTTATCCCCACATGTTTTGCAATTTCGGCAGCTAAATCGACACAGTAGCCTTCATATCTGTCATTCCCCTCCAGCGACAAGTAGTTTCGCTTGTACATCACATAAGGAGACTCCTGTTAATTAAACATAATGTTGAGTTTATAACATGCACACATTCCATTCACAGAGGCCAGTCCTCTTGAGGCCAGTCCTCTTTAACCCGCATGCACACATGCATGGATGACACACACACACAGACATAGACAGACATAGACAGACATAGACAGACACAGAGCACAAGGACAGGAAATACAAACAGAACAGCATGGACAAGAAGCGCCATACGGAGTTGGTCACACGGGCATGCAGCGGGCTAGAGGTAGGGCCGGCCCGGAAGGGCCAGTGGGGTTAGTAAGGCCTATGACAGACAGGCATAAAGGGGGAAGGAGTGGGGCTGGTTCTCTCAGCAGGATTCCTCATGCTAAACCCAGCTACAAATCTAAGGAGGAAGGGGCCGGGTGGAGGGTGCATACGCTTTGCATCGGCTTACTAGGACAGGGACAGGTTGAACAGGGATTGAGACACTTTCCAGTTCATCAAGTAAATGGCAGTGATTGGCGAGGGATTAAAGTAGTGCTAGTTCTTATTGCAACACCATCAAACACATAGATGAATGTGTTGGGAGGCTGCATCATCCAACTAATCAAACCAACTCCTGAGCTTATCTTCCATACAGAATACACTGGGAGGAGTGAATACACGTGCTTGGCTCTTCAAACACTGAGGTGGGGTTGGTTTTCTTTTAGGCTTGGCTCCAAAATCAAAAGTGTCAGGAACATAAGGGATGCCAGTGGGTAAAACAATGGTCAATTTCTTTATTTCTGTGCTGAAGTTATCTTTTCACCTCTCTGTGCTATTAGGACTGGGTTCCAAAATAATAAAGTAAAATACAGCTAATTCTGATGCATAATGAGATGACCATCGTCAATTTACAATGTCAATAGACTAACGCATGATCACTACATGAGTGGTGTAACGATATTGCTATCAAAACATTACAATGGTCCTACCATTTCCCTGTGTATATCAGAAGTATCCTTAGTATTTATGAGTGTGATCATGACATGCTTACATCTAGATGATATTGCCTGACTTTCGTATTCTGAATTTGCCTAAGATGAGGACATAATAGGCAGAGTCAGAAAGAAGGCCATCGTTTTAAATGTAAGATAAGGCTTACCTTATTTTACATTTAAAAATGACCAATGTATTCTTACTAACTGTATATACATCCTGCTGATTTTTATTAATCTCTCTGCTTGAACTAAAAATACCTTATCTATAATATCTCTAACTATCCCTGACCTTTGACCCCTAATATCTCTGGATATTGGAGGAAGCCGCAGAGGTTATACTTCAGTACAGAACTCATAATGGTCGATTCAAAATAGATTTGAACAAGGGGATAAACAAACCAAAGCTTTTTATGTCCTCCTCAAATGGCAGTTATTTTGCGTCCCCAGAGAGAAACAATTTATCATTACAGGACGTTTTGTTGTATCTATCCCCGTCATCATTGACCATTTACTTAATGAGTAAGAAACAGGTTTTTACTTACGTACGTATGCACTGAATGTGTATTAGATGAAGTCTATAGGCTCTAACTAGTTTCATTACCAAAGCCGTTATTGTGATGTCACTGCTACAACAGGCCACCGTAATATGGAAAATCAAAATGCTTTATCACCCACACGGATACAGTTGAAACACTCTTTGTGCATCGACTGTTTCAACATGTAGTGAGTGGATGGAAAGCAACTCAAAAGAAAATAGTTCTACCCTCCCAGGACAGAATGTAACAATGGACACCTTGACCTTGAGTGGCAGAATTTTTTAGAGGTGGAACATTTAAAATCTGCTTGGAAAGTGTACCATAATAGTAGTGACCACAATCGTTCGGTTTTCCACAGAAGAGGACTCGTTGGTGACCTGCGCATCCACAATATATACATATTTTTCATATTCATTCCAGTACCCGGTCTGAAAGTGACAGAAACATCATAGTTATTACAAGAAACAGCCATTTAAAAGACATTTGCAAGTAAAGCCTCCAAGTGCAGTTGGCAGGTGAGCATGTCTGATGAGAGTCTTGGCCTGAAGGGGGGTATGTGATGATACGTGAGATAAAAAGCCCTGTACTGGCGCTGTGCTTGGAGATGAAGCTCCAACCTCTGCTACAGATACAGTGGGGGAAAAGAGCATTCAACTCTCAGCTAATCTCCCTCTCAGTCACTGGTCCTTTACATAACCATACATTACTGCTCATCAAATCCCACTGGGCAAAACTGGTTGAATCAATGTTGTTTCCACGTCATTTCAACCTCCAACAATGTATGTGATTAAGTTGAATCAACATGGAAAACTCATTGGATTCGCAAAAAGTCATCAACGTAAGGGAATTTCGTCATTTCTTTCACCAAACTTTTAACCTAATTCCAATGAGATGGTGAATTTTTTTGTTGATTTCACGTTGAATACACAATAGTTGACAACTCAACGTTGAACTGACGTCTGTGCCCAGTGGGATGCTCCTCGCATGCTGCTTGGCAATACTAATACCAGAAAAAAAAAAAGAATAAATATGTCTTATTCAGCCATAAGCTATTTCAGTTGCAATTTACAGAGTGAGGGCTTCTGCTCATCAAATCAAATCAAATGTTATTTGTCCCATCCACGTGTTTAGCAGATGTTATAGCGGGTGGAGCGAAATGCTTGTGTATATGTATAAATATTAAGCATATGTAGAGCTGCTACTAAAAATGTACATCTGACATCTGTGAACCTATTCAATAACTGCTGAGATTTACAAAATGTCTATTCATTTGTTCTAGCTATCTGTTCAGTTTTTTTCTGTTCTGCTGTTCTTTTCCGTTCTGTTGTATTCTATTATTTTTTCTGTTCTGTTCAATTTTCATTCTCTCCTCACTCAGCTCTCACTGCAGATTGCCTCACAGTGTGTGTACACCTATGGGTCGCTGTGTTGCAGTGGGCCAGATGAGCTGAGCTATGTGGACAATGTGGGGGCACCTCCTTTTGGTCCTAGATTTTGTGGGCACCCCGTCAGAGTTCAGAGCCAAAGAGCTACCATGGCGACAGCGCCCGAATCGTAGGCCAGTATGTGTGGGGGGTAGTGGGGTTACTGGCTAATATAATATCACTACTCCAGACAGCCTTGGTGTATCCCCTTTCTGGCCCCCTCTGCCCCAGGTATGACAGAGCACAAAGGGAGCATGCAGGACGAGGTCATGGAGTCATGCTAATGTTTAACTACTAAAATATTTAATGTGTAATTACTTGTGTATTGATATTTACAGTCCATATAACTGAGCTAGCTTAACATGTAATCTCAGTTAGAAAGAAAGAAAGAAAGAAAGAAAGAAAGAAAGAAAGAAAGAAAGAAAGAAAGAAAGAAAGAAAGAAAGAAAGAAAGAAAGAAAGAAAGAAAGAAAGAAAGAAAGAAAGAAAGAAAGAAAGAAAGAAAGAGGACTGGTATGACTTAAACTGCATACTGTGTACTATCCTACTACATACTATTTAGAACATCCTGTTTAATGAAATTGAAGCAACAAATATCAACATACTTGGCTCATCCATACTGAGAATGCATAATCTAATGTGCAATTGTGTTGATTCCCACCATTCATTCATTTTGGTACAGCGTGTCACCATGTCTGATTATCAGCTGTTGTCAAAAACACGTGGGGGAAAAAAAATCTATTCTCTTCCTTAAGTGTGCATCGAATTATACTAGATGAAAAGCCGAAATGAGTGTGACATCCTGGCATTTAAAGCATACTCAATTTTCACATACTATAAAACTTTATATTTTCGCCTACCCAAAATTCCTACCATTTAGAATGTATGGGTATTGGAGAAACATTTCATTATTCATTGTAATCCGCATGTTAAGCCACTGTACTGCTTTCTACTTACCTTCTTGGGCCCCCCTACTTTCATCTCATACACATCGACGCTGTAGTTGGCTCTCCGACCGAACGAGTCAAACTGGATATTCCCTGTCATACCTTGTACCTGGACCTGCCAAGCACACCATGACACAAGGAACCGTAATAACCTTCACAAAACAACCACTCTGCTTGGTTTGTAAGCAGAATTCAGAATTCAACTGAATAAGTAAAGATAGTCAAGATATAGTCAAAATATCCTACTATATTTTAAAGGCATGGTAACAGGGGTACACCTGGGCATCTGTGAAGATCCCTCCTACCATTTTGAGTGCTCTCTCTATGTCAATGCCTTGGCTCCAGGGCACAGCCGGGTTGGCCAGGCAGTCCCCAGCGCTTCCCCTCCGGGACACGTCCACCCTCTGCCTCCGCAGGTACCGGAAGGCCTCTGCCAGTACCAGCACGGCATCATGGGTCAGTGCCGACGTGTACTGAAACACAACCACCACAGCAGATCATGACATTATGAGAGCAGTCCAAAGGGTACTTGCTGGTTTGTGTAATGAGCACGCTTACATATAAAGCACAATGTGAAAATTGAATAAATTGTGAAAATGAGTCTATCAAGTAGGTACAGCAGTAGCTGAACAGCCCACTGCTACTCTGCCTCAAGGTTTGTTTTATTCAGGAGTAATTGGTGATTGGCAGTCTGCTGCTGCCTGATATGCCAAAGCTAGTTCATACTGTAGTACTTTCAAACCGAAAACCTATTTTTGCCACTTTGATTTTACTATTGCCTCACTGACAGTTTATCTGGTTAAATTTGACAAAAGCTTTTAAGTAGAATAGTACAGCCTTCCTTTTGACAAGTGAGTGAAAATGTTCTGTCTTTGATACTGCTAGAGAAACACAGATAGATGAACAGATAGGCAGAGAAAAAGGGCCAGAAGTAGATATGGGCAGAGAGAAGGATGTTTCATGCTGTAAATAAAACTTCCACACAACATTGACAGCTGTGTGGTACTGTACCTTCAGTGGTGTGCCTTTAGCCTCAGGAAACTCCCTCTCGTCTAGGCGTTCCCAGCGCTGGAGGAACTGTGTGACTATAGGGTTCTCTGGGTTGATGATCTGGAAGCCTGTTATGTTGGCTCCTCCAGCAAACACTTTGTCCAGGCTCATGTTAGCGAAGCCCTGCAGTGAAACCAGAGGTACCCAACAACATGCAGGCATCAAACAATCTGTCCCCAACAACTGGGTTCATCTGTATGGCCTTTACAGTTAAAAAAGGAAAGTGTTTTCTGAGATATTGTGTTCTGGATAACGGTGCAAGCTAAGCGTAAAAAGTTCAAACTTTCTTGTTGATGCTGATAATGTGTGTTCTTATTTGTTCGTAAAAGTACAGTTTGTTCAAATTCCATATTCCAAATCCCATTTTCTCATAAATGTTTGAGACAGCCCCTGAGAGAGAGGAGGGCTGTTGTGTTGTGCTACTCTACTCACCAGGTTAGCCAGGATGTAGTGGTAGCCTCTGCTGTTCTTCCCCAGGGTCACTACCTGCAGGAGAAACAACATCACAGTTAGAACATTTACATTTACATTTAAGTCATTTAGCAGACGCTCTTATCCAGAGTGACTTACATGAGCAATTAGGGTTAAGTGCCTTGCTCAAGGGCACATCGGAAAACATATGGAATAAGGTACTCTGGTCAGATGAGACTGAAATTGAGCTTTTTGGCCATCAAGGAAAACGCTATGTCTGGCGCAAACCCAACACCTCTCATCACCCCGAGAACACCATCCCCACATTGAAGCATGGTGGGGGCAGCATCATGCTGTGGGGATGTTTTTCCATCGGCAGGGACTGGGAAACTGGTCAGAATTGAAGGAATGATGGATGGCGCTAAATACAGGGAAATTCTTGAGGGAAACCTGTTTCAGTCTTCCAGAGATTTGAGACTGGGACGAAGGTTCACCTTCCAGCAGGACAATGACCCTAAGCATACTGCTAAAGCAACACTTGAGTGGTTTAAGGGGAAACATTTAAATGTCTTGGAATGGCCTAGTCAAAGCCCAGACCTCAATCCAATTAAGAATCTGTGGTATGACTTAAAGATTGATGTACACCAGCGGAACCCTTCCAACTTGAAGGAGCTGGAGCAGTTTTGCCTTGAAGAATGGGCAAAAATCCCAGTGGCTAGATGTGCCAAGCTTATAGAGACATACCCCAAGACACTTGCAGCTGTAATTGCTGTAAAGGTGGCTCTACAAAGTATTGACTTTGGGGGGGTGAATAGTTATGCACGCTCAAGTTTTCTGTTTTTGTGCCTTATTTCTTGTTTGTTTCACAAGAAAAAATATTTTGCATCTTCAAAGTGGTAGGCATGTTGTGTACATCAAATTATACAAACCCCCAAAAAATCCATTTTAATTCCAGGTTGTAAGGCAACAAAATAGGAAAAATGCCAAGGGGGTGAATACTTTTGCAAGCCACTCAAATCAAATCAAATCAAATTTTATTGGCCACATGCGCCGAATACAACAGGTGCAGACATTACAGTGAAATTCTTACTTACAGCCCTTAACCAACAGTGCATTTATTTTTAATAAAAAAGTAGATTAAAAAAAAAAAGTGTTGAGAAAAAAAGAGCAGAGGTAAAATAAAATAACAGTAGGGAGGCTATATATACAGGGGGGTACCGGTGCAGAGTCAATGTGCGGGGGCACCGGCTAGTTGAGGTAGTTGAAGTAATATGTACAAGTGGGTGACTATGCATAAATAATTAACAGAGTAGCAGCAGCGTAAAAATATGGTGTGGGGGGGGGGGGCAGTGCAAATAGTCCGGGTAGCCATGATTAGCTGTTCAGGAGTCTTATGGCTTGGGGGTAGAAGCTGTTGGGAAGTCTTTTGGACCTAGACTTGGCACTCCGGTACCGCTTGCTGTGCGGTAGCAGAGAGAACAGTCTACGACTAGGGTGGTTGGAGTCTTTGACAATTTTGAGGGCCTTCCTCTGACACCGCCTGGTATAGAGGTCCTGGATGGCAGGAAGCTTGGCCCCAGTGATGTACTGGGCCGTACGCACTACCCTCTGTAGTGCCTTACGGTCGGAGGCCAAGCAGTTGCCATACCAGGCGGTGATGCAACCAGTCAGGATGCTCTCGATGGTGCAGCTGTATAATTTTTTGAGGATCTGAGGACCCATGCCGAATCTTTTCAGTCTCCTGAGGGGGAATAGGCTTTGTCGTGCCCTCTTCACGACTGTCTTGGTGTGTTTGGACCATGATAGTTTGTTGGTGATGTGGACACCAAGGAACTTGAAGCTCTCAACCTGTTCCACTACAGCCCCGTCGATGAGAATGGGGGCGTGCTCAGTCCTCTTTTTTTTCCTGTAGTCCACAATCATCTCCTTTGTCTTGGTCACGTTGAGGGAGAGGTTGTTATCCTGGCACCACATGGCCAGGTCTCTGACCTCCTCCCTATAGGCTGTCTCATCGTTGTCGGTGATCAGGCCTACCACTGTTTGTCGTTGGCAAACTTAATGATGGTGTTGGAGTCGTGCCTGGCCATGCAGTCATGGGTGAACAGGGAGTACAGGAGGGGACTGAGCACGCACCCCTGAGGGGCCCCCGTGTTGAGGATCAGTGTGGCAGATGTGTTGTTACCTACCCTTACCACCTGGGGGCGGCCCGTCAGGAAGTCGAGGATCCAGTTGCAGAGGGAGGTGTTTAGTCCCAGGATCCTTAGCTTAGTGATGAGCTTTGAGGGCACTATGGTGTTGAATCCTGAGCTGTAGTCAATGAATAGAATTCTCACGTAGGTGTTCCTCTTGTCCAGGTGGGAAAGGGCAGTGTGGAGTGCAATAGAGATTGCATCATCTGTGGATCTGTTGGGGCGGTATGCAAATTGGAGTGGGTCTAGGGTTTCTGGGATAATGGTGTTGATGTGAGCCATGACCAGCCTTTCAAAGCACTTCGTGGCTACAGACGTCAGTGCTACGGGTCGGTAGTCATTTAGGCAGGTTATCTTAGAGTCCTTGGGCACGGGGACTATGGTGGTCTGCTTGAAACATGTTGGTATTACAGACTCAGTCAGGGACATGTTGAAAATGTCAGTGAAGACACTTGCCAGTTGGTCAGCACATGCTCGGAGTACACGTCCTGGTAATCCGTCTGGCCCTGCGGCCTTGTGAATGTTGACCTGCTTAAAAGTCTTACTCACATCGGCTACGGAGAGCGTGATCACATAGTCATCCGGAACAGCTGGTGCTCTCATGCATGCTTCAGTGTTGCTTGCCTCGAAGCGAGCATAGAAGTGGTTTAGCTCGTCTGGAAGTCTTGTACTGTACTCTATTCATCTACTGTTCCAAGAAGACACAATAGAACCTGAATGCATCTATTAGTTCTCAGTAGTAGAGCGTGGATCCACTTGGTCAAAGTTGTGGGTCTCCAGTCTATTTGCACTAATGAGCAAATATAGTGCACCACCACCATCCCCATCAGTGAAATTTGTTGAGCAGCAGAAACCGCACAGACTCAACTGTCATCTTTCAGTTCAAAAACAAACAAACCAGAATAATTGGCTTTCTTAAATAAGGTTCCTTGGGTAATGTCTGATACGTATATGAGTGTGTTTATCTTACAGGGTCTGGGTATGTGTTTGCATGTGTGTGTGTGTGTGTGCATGGGTGAGACTTGTGCTGCAATGACAATGCTTGTTCCTTTGCATTACCGTCAATGTGTAAAATAAGGTCAGGACTGAAGGCCCGCAGAAAAATTCCCCTTTCATAACACAACTGCCTGCTCAAATGTAAAGTGCTCTCTGCCATTTTCTGCTGTAGCTGTATATGCCACAGGGCTGTATTATAGACTTAATTAGGAACAAAACTGTTCTCTCCCAGTGATAGCGGGCAGGCGGGCATGAACAACCAACGCTAGCTGTTGTGTTTACTCTAATGCAGGGGCCTTCACTGGGGAAGGGGGGGGGGGGTTTATCATTGGAATGTGATACAAAACAAGGCAATGGTGTGCTTTAGGACCATGCAGACGCCTCTGAGTGGTCGGGTAGGCTGTTTGGAGTGTTAATCTGACTGGATAAAAAATAATTATTATTATTACGTCCCCCCCCACTTCTAAAACCAAAGTTGCGCCCCTGCTTTAATGACTAGTTCAGGCTTAGTTACCGCACCAAAGTTACTCTGAGATAGGTTACCAAACTTCTCATTCTTAATCCCTGGCAGAACGGAACAGAGTAGAACAGCAAGGTGGTTTCATCATGGAGATACTGTCCATCCAGTCCAGTACTGAGAGGGTGGAGAAAGGGAGTTCATTTTTACTTTATTTTCACTGTCTTTTTAGGCTTCCTCCCCCACAGTTTTGACAAGGATGCTCTCTACGTGTCAGCCACTGCAACTCTATTGAATATCAAACATTCAGTGTTACTGTCACGGTTTCGGCCGAGGCTGCTCCTCCTCCTTGTTCGGGCAGGCTTCGGCGGTCGTCGTCCCCGGAGTACTAGCTGCCACCGTTCGATGTTTCATGTTTGTTTGGTTTTGTCTGTTTGTACACCTGTCCCTTGTTAGTGTTTGATTTTGTTTCCTATTTAGTTATCGTGTGTTGGGTCAGGTGTTATGTGTGATTGTTATGTCAGCTGTTACTGTTGATGGGTTTTCTCTCTCGTATTGTTTGTTGTCGAGAGTCCGCACTGCGTGCGCCTTTTCTTGTTTTTACGCACTGTTGTGTGTGTGTGCGTAATTTGTTCTTGCCTCCCGGTTGGGTTGGCTATTCACCTGTTTGGAGTTCTATTTTGGATTACTAAAGTCTGTTGACGAACACCCTTGTTCCTGCGCTTGATTCCCTGCACCACATCCACACTCAGCGTTCTGACAGAATCACACATCAACCCATGGAATCAGCAGGAGCAACCGCGCCAACGGACATTATGGAGGACCGTCTTCGTGGGCAGGAGGACAGGATCAACCAGATCGGTCAAGCCCTGGATCGGGTGATGAACACTCTCCACCGATGGGAAAGCAGCGGGGTACCCACGCCCCCACCTACCGGACCATTCCCATCGGTCAGTCCTCCTGTCCCCCTTCCGGAACCCAGCGGGATTCGGCTCTCGCTCCCGAGGGCGTACGACGGCTCCGCTGCCGGGTGTCAAGGGTTCCTGCTGCAAGTGGAGCTCTACCTCGCCACCGTACACCCGGCGCCCTCGGGACACGAGAGCGTCTCC